CGTTAAGGGACTGACTTAAGGGAGAGATCAAGGTAGGAAGAACCTCAGAAGCCAGAAGATTAAAAGGATTGTCAGGACTTCAGAAAGTGGATTTTCCCCATCTCTCTTGAATGACTTCCTGTGAGATGCAGGCATCCGTGCAGCTCCCGAAACGTAACATTGCAGAGAGTTCAGGTTGAGGTGGGTAACGATTGATGTCAATATTCACACCAGGGAAGTGGTGGACTCCTCAACAGTGGACACTTTTAAGATTCAGCTGGACAGGGTGTGGGGCCATCTTGTCTAGACTGTGCTTTTGCCAAGAAAAGTTAGACCAGATTATCCTTGAGGTCCTTTCCAAGATGGGTTTCTATGATTCTATGATTAATGTCAGTATTGGAGAGTTGCAGGGGGGTGTGAGCAGTGGATTTATTTTGCCAGGTCATAGCTTCTGTTGCCCCCTCTCCATGAAATGTGGTTCAGGCAAACAACAGCAGCACTGGGTCTTAATCTGTGGTTGCATGTGCCGACTGGCTGGCAGACTCTGCCAAAAGAAAGGCACGTAATTAATTTTGCAGTGGATGATCTGAAAAGCAAATGCTTGGTGCTTTTTTTTGCTTTGCACTGAGGGTGCCTCAATACCTATTGTGTCTCATGTATTCTTTTGTCTTCCTGCAGTCTGAGTTCTTATGACCTGGTGTCCGTCACCACTGTTGACACTTGAAACAAAAGAGCAGGATGTGAGCATATAATCCATTTTCTGCACATCTTCTGGGAGGACAGAAACCTTCCAGAGAAATTACGGCTAGCCAGAGCTAGTGGTGTTGACAAGTTTATACAGTTTTAAATGCAGGATTGACTGCAGCCTTTCTAATTAAAATTTTTCCTGTGTTTCAGTCTCAAGAGATTCAAGTTGCATCTTTTTTTGTTGGAAGAGCAGAGTCTGATTATCTCTAATAGCAATGTTTATTCCCTCTATCTTTGTGCCATTAGCCAAATCCTGCTAACTGAGGAGTGTGGCTTTCTGTATAGAGGCATTTGTGAGAGGAGAGGGGCAATGCTGTATTCATCCACAAGGCCTGGATTTAACCAGGCTAAGCATGATACCCAAGACAGGACTTAAAATAACAGTAAGGTCCCTGTGTAGTCTAGTCAGTTGATAGAGGCAGTCATCTTCTAACTTCTAGCGCTGGTGATATAGAGAGACAAGGACAGCCATGTTTCTAACCTAAATGCAGATGCAAGTCCTGTTATTTCCTACCGAACATCAGCAGTGTGGGGAGGAATCCTCAAACACAATTAAAATTGCAACACCTCCAGTGACAGGCTTGTGATTACCTCTAATGCCAGGTCAGGTGTGTTAGACAAGAAAGCATCAGGTGGAGGAAGTTCTGCTTTTCTGTCTAAGCCAGCTGCTGTCTCTGTATTTAGTGTTGGTTTTTAAATCACTATTTTGATTTTTTTTGTTTCGTTGTTGTTTTGTTTTTTGAGAGGTTGACTGGATTCATCAGAAAGCTGTTTTTATGAAGGAAAAAGGAAATTTAGGTGTGGGAAAGATGCATAAAATCTAGGACTTCTCTTGCAGTTTTAGATTTCAAGCAAAGCCTTTGTGAATGCTGATTCCAGCTGCCAGTGCAGCTGAATACTTTGCAGATACAAGTTTCCTGGTGCGGCTCTGACCCTTGCATAGGGACCTGTGTCCCCTGTTGGGAGGGTCTAGCATTATAAGGATTTTCAACTAATAGCTCTATTGCTTTATGAGATCTACTGCAAAATAAATATCTGATGCTTCTAACTATGGGTTTTTTTGGAGGTACATAGGTATTCACAGCATGTAAAAATGCAATGAATCTGTTAGACGAGCATGCTGAAGTAGAGGAAGAACTAAAAAGAGGAAATCGTGGGGAAAAGCTTATTAAACACCCTCACTTCAGAGAAATGAAGCAAAATTACTAGGTGAGTGGTGTCCTTTGTAGAAATGTATTCTGAATGTGGTCTATTTCAACTCAGTAAGTCTAATCTTTAAAATACTAACTCTTGCTAAGAAATCAGTTGAGTGTCTGATCTTCCAAGGGACTAAACCTCTTTCAAGAGCAACAGTGTGTGCTAACACTGGTAGCGTGGTGGCATTTGAGGGGGAAATTTCTAGAGAATGGTTTCAGGTGTCTTTGGAGTCGATTTAGCATTCAAAAAGAATTGAGTGTATTCACAATAAAACATAAAAGCATAAAGCAGTCATAGTTCACCTGGAGATGTGCTAAACCGGGAAGCCAAAAAGAAGGTGTAGTTCATGCTCTGGAGATGAAGTGGGCTTTATGCATGCAAGACATCAGACTTGGTTGCTGTTTTACAGTGAAATTGTGATGCCTCGCATCCTGTATTCCAGTCAGATTTTTTCAGTCAAATGTTGATTATTCCCACCCTCTTAATCAAGGATTGGGGAATGCGTCGTGCAAAGCAAACTACATGCTAGAGGTAAAAGGATCATTTGGTTCAAAAGGCTTGATGCAAAATTAGAGATTTTGGGTTGGGAGGGACCTCGGATATCTTGGGTCCCACCTGCTGCTCAGTGCGGGTTCAACACAGGGTTTCCATCATGTTGCTCAGGGCTTTCTCTAGTCAGGTCTGGGCAAGTTTGAGAAGTGGGACTATGGAAACCTGATGAGGTTCAACAAGGCCAAGTGCAAGGTCCTGCACACGGGTCGGGGAAACCCCTGGTATCAGTACAGGCTGGGGGATGAAGGGATTGGGAACAGCCCTGTAGAAAAGAACTCGGGGGTACTGGTGGATTCAGAACTGGGCATGAGATAGCAATTTGTGTTTGCAGCTTAGAAAGCCAACTGTATCATGGGCCATGTAAAAAGGAGCATGGCCAGCAGGTCGAGGGAGGTGACTGCTGCCCCTCTATTCTGCTCTGGTGAGACCCCACCTGGAGTACTGTGTCCAACTCTGGGGTCCTCAGTACAAGAAGGACATGGACCTGTTAGAGCAGGTCCAGAGGAGGCCACAAAAATATTCAGAGGGATGGAACACCTCTGCTGTGAGGACAGGCTGAGAGAGTTGGAGTTCTTCAGCCTGGAGAAGAGAAGGCTCTGGGGAGACCTTATTGCAGCCTTTTAGTACTTAAAGGGGACTCATAAGGAAGATGAGGACAGAGTTTTTATTAAGGCCAGTAGCCATAGGAAAGGGGTAGTGGTTTTAAACTAAAAGAGGGTAGATTCAAACAATATAAGGAAGAAATTTTATATTAGCATGATGAAACACTGGAACAGGTTGCACAGAGAGGTGGTAGATGCCCCATCCCTGGAAACATTCCAGGTCAGGTTGGGTGGAGCTCTGAGCAATGTGATCTCGGTGAAGATGTCCCTGCTCATTGCAGCAGGGGTTGGACTAGATGGCCCCTAAAGGTCGCTTCCAACCCAAACCATGCCATGATTCTATGGAGGCTGCACAGCCTTGCTGGGCCCCATTTCCAGTGCTTGACTATCCTCTTAGGGGAAAATGCTTTTTCTGTATCCAGTCAGACCTCCCTGTTTCACTAGTTGACCAGTGCTCCTTATCTGCCTGCTGTGCACCTCAGCAAGGACGTTGGGGCTGCTTGATAGCCTGCCTGTAGCTGCTGTTGTTTTGCCCTAGGGTTTTCTGTTCTGCAGGCTGAACAAGCACATTTCCATTGGCTTCTTCTCACAAGCCATGTGTTTCAGCCCCCAACTGCCTTGGTGGTCCCCCTTGGATTCACTCAAACATGTTGACAACATTCTTGTGGTGGGAGTCCAAAACTGGAGGGGAAATCCAAATGTGGTCTAATGAGTGCTGAGTAAAGGGCACTAACAGTTCTTCTGTTTCCTGACTGCTCCAGTGAATGGCACCCAGGATGCTGTGGACCTCCCTTGCTGCCAGGGCACGCTCCAGGCTCTGGATGTGCAGTTTTCTCTTCACTGGGACTCCCAGCATAGCAGAGCTGCTCCCCAGCCAGTCCTTAGAGGACTGGCCACTGTCTTTTCCAGCAGATGCTTGATAAGTTCCCAGGCAGCTCAGCAGTACTTCTGGCTGGTGCTTAGGCAGCAGAAACTCATCTGAAAGTAGACAGCAGTGTAAATGTATTTGGGTAAAAGGGAGTGAGTCAGACCTTAGCCTACAGCGCTGGCCCTGTGGAACACTGCAGGTGGCTTTCTGTACTAAAGCAGCATCAAACCTGGAGTGCTAAGCATAGCCAGCTACTTGGAATTAATTTCTTCAGCACCTCATTTGTGACATTTCAAAAGGCATTTGAGTTCATTAAAGTCCTGTGTCACAGCAAGCACCAAAAAGTGAGATCAAGTGAAATGTACTTGGGAATCTTAGTTTTTAAGTAATGAACTTGCTCACATAGACATTTCAGACAGTTCCATTACCTTGCCAAAACATATCTGGAGAACAGCCATCAGCCAAAAAGAAGCCACCTTTAGAATCTATGAATGAGTGCAAAGACCTCAGACTAACAACGCTTGTGATGCTTTTTGCTCTAGCATAAGACCAGAAGCATCCAGCTCACATTCTTCGGGGTTATTACCAGGTGTGCAACTCTGATGAAATATGCGTTTGGGGGATTCTCCAAACATGACTTTTAATGTGGTCCGATTTTGAAACTTGTTTTCATAAAACAGTTGCTGAGGTTTATGACTGTCTATCTTGTAATGCTTAGGGGAGATCAGAGCCAGGAAATAATCATCTTATAAGCCTTTATCAGAGGGAAATATAAGCTGTTTTAAAATATTTGTGTCTTTACTTAGAGGCAGTAGGAAATGTGATGAGAGTTTTAAATGAAGGCTTGCTGAGGTGTGTCCTGTCTGGCTTGGCAGAGCTCTGCTCCAAATCTGTAAGAGGTAGTGGTTTCCCTGTTAGAGTAGACAGGGGCAGTTATGTTCTTCAACATTGTGCAACAGAGAGGAGTGTGAACTAATGATGGAATTAATGATATTATTATTGTTGTTGTTGTTGTTACGATGATGATGATGATTAAAGAGATTGCAATGTTTCAGATCCCAAAGAAGAGAAGGAAGAGGAGGAAGTTTCCAGTGTCCTGAGCCATGGCTCTCCTGTCAGCACAGCCAGGCCTAGCAGAAGCTGGCGCAGCAGCAGGTCAGCCACTGCGGCCCGCCAGCGTGACACTGAGAATTCACGTGCCTCCAGATCCAAGACTGGTTCCCTGCAGCTTGTCTGCAAGTCAGAGCCAAACACAGACCAGCTTGAATACGGTACGTGGGAAGCCCTGGTGTGAAAGTGTCTGGAGATAGTCAGGTCTTGGGAACCTTTGAAAGGAACTGGATGTGGGCGTAGCTTTGTGAGCTGTATGCAGACTGTGGCTGGTCCAGGCATGGTGCTTCTTGGTCATGAGTACCTTCTGCCACCAGCGCTCCTGCCACTGAATGTCGACGGAGGTATCTTGAGACAGATGAGCTCACTGCAGCGAACACAGGTTGAAACCTAATGGTGACTTTTCCTTTCAGAGGTCACAGAAGAGCATCAGTCTCCAGCTGGAATCAGGTAGGAAACTTTGTTTTGTAGTATTTCTTCCTATTTAGTGTCTCAAGAAGGGAAGATAACGGCCTGAGTTTTTTCAAAATAAGTGCTTCTGTGGAAGGTTCTATGAGATGGATAGTAGCTCTGTTCATTCATTCCTGGACCTTTGTATTTTCAGTCCGGATTGCAGATGGACTGCAGATGTCAGAAGGTATTGTGGAGAAATGGATAGTAAGATTTGATGTGGGCATTTTACCTGGTAGCTTTTTTCCTGTGGGATGAAGGTGCTATAGTTAGGTGGGTTCATGAGAGGAGACTGGTCTGCCTAGCCTGTCTGTTTTGGCTGTCATCATGCTCCTTAGTCAGAGCAAGCTGTTAGCTTTCCCCAGTCATGCTGAGTGAGAAAGTGCTGTGTAATAGTGTCTTTCCCATCCCAGCAGATGATGCACGAATATTCTTGTAGTAGTGCTTAAGCTGTTGCTGCTAGTCCTCTGTTCTCCTTTCTCCCAGCAGTGATGATGAGGAGATGCTTATCAGCGAGGAAGAAGTTCCCTTCAAAGATGATCCAAGAGATGAAACCTACAAGCCCCATCTAGAGAAGTATATTGGATTACATACTTACCATGGGTTTAGTCAAAAAAAAAATCTTAGTTGAATGAGCTCACAGAACCTGTTCTAGTTGCTAGTTGCTAATGTGGAATGTCTCCCATCGGACACAGTGTTTCCTAAATATTGCCTACAGTTATTGGGATTGTTCTTCTCTAATGGACTAAAGCCTTAGAGCCCTGCTGGCTGCTGGTTCTTCCTTAATCCTTGTTCATACTTCTGTTTAGAAGTAGAACTTGCTAAATAGACTTGAACTTTGACCCAGTTTTTGCTAAAATCTGTGTAAAAAGCAGACAGCAGGAAGAGTATTGGAGTAATGTGTTGTATTTGTATCTTTGTAGGGAAGCACCAAAGCAGAGGAGAAAAGCTAGCAAGGGGAAGGAGGAAAAAGAGAAACACAAAGAGATTAAAGTAGAAGTGAAAGAAGAGAGTGAGTTTCAGGAAGATGAAGAACCACCAAGGAAGTGAGTAGAACTCTGCAGTTACGTGTAGCAGTGTGTGTCGTATATTTTGCATTCTTGCTAGTGTATGACAGCGTTTTGTTGTTGTTGGCTTCCCCTCTCCTCCCCTGGGCCTGAAGGATAGTAAGGCTGAACCTTTTTTTCTGATACTAGGAAGGAGGACTTCTATCTTGTACATGTTCGCCAAGGAAAAATAAAACAGTTGGTATTTTCATTTAGTTTAAGTTAAGGGGTTTTTCTTCATACTGTGATTCAGTCAGCCTACCTGGATATGGCCACACAGTGTGAAATATTTTGGAGTATTCTTAAAATCAGTTTCTGTTGTGATGTCTGCAAGTGGATTAGACTGTATTAGAAAGCCAGTCTCAGAAGGCAACATCTCTTCTGTTGTGTGCCTAGGGGCAGATACAGGAATACTTTGTATGTGCCATATGGCAAGTGTCCTCTTTGTACGTTTGGGACTAACAGACCAGAGCTCAAAAAAACCAGCTGTTTTTTCCCTCGTTTTCGAGAAATAAAAGAACAAACTTTTGTTACCTAGTCAGTCACTACTGCTTTGAGTGGAGACTCAAAACCTTTGGGTATGCTGTCACTGGAACTCGACACTGAACCTTTCCTTCTGGCCGTTGAGGTAGATTGGATTTATGTGTCTGTCAAAGCCATTCATTGGGATAGTGTGAGGGGAGAAAAAAACATTTTCTGTACTTTAGCTCCTCTGATCGATTGGAACAAATGGGGCTCCCTCTGCTGGTCTGCAGTATGGGGCTCTGCACACATTCATTTTAATTTATCTTAATGTTTCTAAGCTGCTACAGAGCTGATTTACATTGGAGAGGAGTAAAGATGTTGATATTTTGAGACCTTTTTTTGTTCCCCCTAGAGATGGCTTTCTGAGGCTTGTGGTTGTGTTGTTTGGATCAGATGCTACTTTTGTGCATAATAAAACCTGTGCCTCTTCTGAAGGCTTGGCTTGAATGCTGAGTGCCTGTTCAGCATGTTACTAGCATGGCCTTGCTATCAATAAAGATGCCTCAGTACAGTCTGGAAAAGACTTCAATCAATCTACATGTCTGCAGCAATATGATCAAGCAGGCATGATGTTCTGGGCAGAGCTATCGCTTGGGAGGGGGCCTTTTACCTGTAAGCATAGGTCTGCTCAGATGGAGCATAGATTTTTGTCTTGACAGGTGTATAAACTGCTATAGTTAATGCAGAGGACTGTAAAATAGTTGCTAGATCATTACATTATTTCTGTTCTTCATAGTCATGCAGATTGATGTTTTTCACATGGTATGAAATGCTGCTCAACAGAGCAGAGGAAATAGGGTGCATCATCAATTCTAGACTCTGGCAAAATTACATGTTTATAAAAAATGCATTAGGAAATGGGAGTGGTTGGGAGAGCAAACCACATGAAGCATTTATTTCTCAAGAATGTTGCCTTCCTCTGAATCTGCCTCCAGCTTGCACTGGGTTGATTTTTCTGGAGCTTGCAGTTGCTGAGGCAATAGCTTGCTAGCTGTCTGCAACAGAAACTTACAAGAGCAGAATCTTGTGTGCTGATGTGCAGCCTGGAAGGGGATGAGTTTAATTGTAAGGTCACAAATTGTTTGGACAGTTGCAGGTTTAAAATAAAAATTGAAGCGTGTGAGGCCTGGTTGAGGGGTTTTTAAAATAGCCCTTCCTCACTCCATTGTGGCAGAAGAGTTGGTAACTTCTAACCAAAGCCTGTCGGGCTGTGGCTGTCTGATACCTGTTCACTGGTATCTGCACAGTTGTGAATAGTGGGCTGAGACACATTTAAGATAGGCAGCCGTGTTCAAAATGTGTTGTATGCTAGACCTAGCAGGTAGTCATGCAGCTACAGCCTGACTATGTTGGCAGAGGCAGGGTGATTTGAGGTCTGCCACATGCTGCCAAATGTCATGCAGAAAAAAAAGTGTCACCCAAAAACATGGGGACCAGAGCTCCACAGGGAGCAGTCTTCTGTGCAGTGTGGCAGTTCTGCAAACTGCAGGGACAACTTTCATGGAGGTCTGATTACTTAACTTCCTTAGGGAACCTGCCCATCTATTACAAGAACGTTTCCTTAGAAACTCTTCAGGAGTTTTGATCCAGAGCAGGTGGCAGACTTGCCAGAGCAGCTGACTTGCTGGGTGCAGTGTTACTTTTCAGCTTAAAAGTGTAGAAGAGTTCTGTAGTACTTCTTACAGCATGTTCCTGCTTTACAGCATACACTTCAAAAATTCTGCCCGCTACCAATGTAAAGAAACTTCTTTACATTCTGTTTCTGTAACCCTGTTACAGGAGGGGAAGAAGGAGAAAGGATGACAAGAGCCCAAGGCTGCCCAAGAGAAGGTAAGTGATCCCCTCTACTTGGATCTGTTCTGAAGACTTGCTACCCTTGTGTCCTACACAGAGATGTTCATTGTCTCAAAGCCATCTCTCTTGCACAGTACAGAGATCTGCCTTAAAGGGGCAGTGGGGAGTGGGAATAGCAGTATGCCTTCCCTCCTTCTCCCTGTAGGTGTGGACTTGATTTCTTCCAACTGAACCAGCTCCCCTTCCCACTTCTGAGTTGATTCCTGGCCTGGCATTACCCAGCAATAAGGTTCTAGGAACTCTTATCTCCTGGGGTTTTCTCAGCTCTGGAGAGAGCTCTCGAGTAGTACTAGGACTGGAGGGAACTCAGACAGTCTCTACCAGCATAGCCCAAGCAGGAATATTGGAGCAGTAATCCTTTGCTCCCACGTCACCGACCTGCACTCACACTCGTTTATCTCACTGCTGCCCTGGCTTCAGATGCATCAGGTAACCATTCTGCCCTTTTTCTTACTACTTAGGAAGAAGCCTCCGATACAGTATGTCCGCTGTGAGATGGAAGGCTGTGGCACGGTCTTGGCTCACCCACGTTATCTGCAGGTTGGTTGAGATCTTTCACTTCTCGAATGGCACGTATGAGGGCAGGGAAGGGCAGTTTCAAACAGGCAGCTGATCATCCACTGGCACTGAAGCACTCCTTTCTAACGCTGTCTTTTTGTTAGACTTAATCAGTTGTGGCCACATGTGTCTCTTACCTGTCCTGTTGCTAGGTGTCCACATTTGTTTGGCTTGCTTCTCTCAATGGAGATCAAAGCCTTTGTGTTCATGGTATAAGGATGTCTTGTTAGTGATTGGAGTCTGGTGGCCTGCTGAGGGGCCATGTGGAATCAATGCGTCTCAGCTGTTTTTTTAGCCATGTAAAGAGAGTCTACAACCTTTCACTCTTCCTTTATAGCATCACATAAAGTACCAGCACTTGCTGAAGAAAAAATACGTGTGTCCTCATCCCTCCTGTGGTCGTCTCTTCCGACTTCAGAAGCAGCTCCTGCGGCATGCCAAACACCACACAGGTACAGGGAGGTGGGAAATAGATACAAACTCCTCCTCAGGTCAGTGAACAGAGAGAGGGGGGAAAAAAATGGAAGAGCCTCTAAGACTTCTGGGGAGAGTGAAGCCAAGGCAGCTGGCATAGATTTGCAGCAGCAGCAGGGTATTAATTCCTTCTGGATTTACCCTCTTTAAGGAAATGAAAGAAATAGGCTGTAGAGTTTTTAACTCACCCCCTGGCAAGTATCACTCAGGGGTTCTGCAGAGGAGTAAACCAAGCCAAGCTTTATCCTAATTTGCCAGTCCTTCGATATTGGTCAGAGTGGATAATTAGCTCTAAGGAGAGTCTTAATCATGCCTTAACTCTCCAGATCAGCTGCTGTGGTGTATTGTGGGACACCTCCTTTGTTATGCCTGCTGGCTTCCCAGCCCTTCTAGTTCTGCTGCTTCTTGGGCAGCTTTACCTGCAACATGTGAGAGCTGGGAAAGGGAGCAGGTCTGTGGGAGAGTAATGCTCCAACTGGTGTTGCTTTTTAGATCAAAGGGATTACATCTGTGAGTACTGTGCCCGGGCGTTTAAGAGTTCTCATAACTTGGCGGTGCACCGAATGATCCATACAGGCGAAAAGCCCTTGCAGTGAGTACCTCTGCCTGTCTCTTGATCCCCTACTTTGAGGAACCCTTGGATACACCCGTTCTTGGACTTCACCAAGAGCAGAGGCAGCTCTGAAGTCAGAGCTGGAACCTGTTTCTGCTGTTCAGCTCTCTTTAAACACATACCTGTAGGAGTGTTTGAGCTGCTACTTGTCTCCTTGAGGCAGTGACTCAGTAGAGATCTGAGGAACATAAGCCCTCTGCAAATAAAGCTGGAAGAGCTGGAGCAACAGTGACATCCCATTTTAGTGGGATTTTAGCCCTGCTGTTTTCCTGGGCTGCCGCTTGCTACTGCTGTCCCCACAAGTGTGTGGGGATCTCCCTTTGTTGTGACCTCCCCCTTCTGCCCTCCCAGGTGTGAGATCTGTGGATTCACCTGCCGGCAGAAGGCTTCCCTCAACTGGCACATGAAGAAGCATGATGCGGACTCCTTCTACCAGTTTTCCTGCAATATTTGCGGCAAGAAATTTGAGAAGAAGGACAGCGTCGTGGCCCACAAAGCCAAGAGCCACCCTGAAGTGCTTATTGCCGAAGCACTGGCTGCCAACGCGGGTGCCCTGATCACCAGCACCGACATTTTGGGCACTAATCCTGAGGCCATTGCACCGCCCACCGATGGCCAGGGCCTCCCCCTTCTTCCTGACCCCCTGGGAAGTGCTGCCCCAGCAGATTGCCTGCTGCTGAACCCTGATGGGATGCCGAAGACATACTGTGGTGGGGCAGAGCGTGTGAGCCTGGTGGCTGACGGCAAGCTCTTTGTGGGTAGTGGCAGCAGTACAAACCCAGAGGGGCTGGTCATGAACACAGAGATCCTGGGAGCCACCACGGAGGTGCTCATTGAAGATTCAGACTCCACTGGACCCTAGTGGGTGGGGAGCACTTGGGTGCTGGGACAATTTGGACTCTGTATTTAAAAGGAGGGAAAAAAAAAAAAAAAAAAAGAAAGGAAAAAAAAAAAAAAGAGACACTTACTGAAAGAGAGAAAAGTTAAACAAAACTTACAATACTAGTAAATAACCGAAGGGTCTGCTCCCCTCCAGCGTGGATCACAGCACATCCTCTTTCTCCCAACCACTTCTCTCTCTCCCACTGCTCCTTTATAGAAAGGGGCACTTGCTGCCATTACCAGAGCAAGTTGGATTGAGTGATGGATTTCTCCAAGGGAGGGGGAACTGCTGAAACCCTTCACTCTACCCCAAAGCAGATGCCTTTCTGGCTCCTTGACATGGCCCTGCTCTCAAACTAGAAAGCATTTGATGTGCTCTGGACAAGTTTCTTAGGACTCCCTCTTGCCCCTGGTCCCAACTTCTATGCATTGCTGCACTCTAGTCCTTGCAGTCTCATTCTTCCCCCCCCCCCAGGGCTGGGAGTTTGGCTTGGCACTTTAGCCCCCCTCAGCAGTGTGAGCTGTGAAACAGTGCACGTCCCTCTCCCCACCGCGCTCCTCTGCTCCAGCTCTGGCAGGAAGTTGAGGGAACGCCCAGGCTCATAGATCATGTTTGCTCGGAGAGGCCCGGGGGCTACCGGAGCCCTGCGTGGGAGAGGCAAGGAGGAGCATCCCAGTTTGACGACAGTAATTTGCACTTTGAACATGCTTCGTTTTTGTGTTGTGGTAACAAGATTCCTTATTTATTGATTAAAAAAAAGGGTCGGTATTTTTTAGTTATGTTCCTAGGAGGTGGGGGTGAAAGGGGTTCAGGCGATTTCCCGGTAGGCTCCTTTGCACTAGCGAGCTGCAGGGAGCGCGTTGTGCCATCGTAGCAGCGGCTGGGAGAGCCGAGGTGAAGGCGGCGTTCTGGAGTCAGATGTCTCTCACAACTTTTCCAGAGTAGAGGGAGAGCCCCTGGAGAAGAGCCTGTTTGCAGTGGGAGTCTCTGCAGCAGCAATTTAGCAGGAGGATGAGGTGAGTGATGGACAGCTGGCTGTTGTCTCCCTCCCTCCTAGGTTGGGGTAAGCTCTTTGCATTAAATGCTCTTTTTGATTCCCTCTTGCTCCCTAGCCTTTCAGGGAAGAACATCATTAGCCAGGAACTTGTTCTCATGACTTAGGACAGTTGTGAGCTGCTTGCTGCTGGGGGATGTTGTGCTCCTTATCCAACTCTGCCTCTCCTTTCCAGGTCTAGACAAAGGTACAGAAGCAGGGACTGGATATGGCTGTCTCAGGCTTGTTTATTCAAGGCAATAGGCTGACATGGGACTAAGGGGGTCTCAGCTTTTTTCCCTGCCTCCATTTTGCAGGGAGGATGTTGTGCAGCCATGCTCTCAAAGCTTTGTTCTTCTGCACAAACACCCCTGATTTCCATGAAATGTGGCGGTTCGAGTGTTGCCTGCTGGTGTAGTTAGGACAGCTCTGAGCCCTTGGGAAAGTTTACATAGTGTATGATGTGTCTGCTATGGAGACTTGAATCTTCTTGCTCTTATCTGAAACTTTGTGTGGCAATTCAGTGGCCTTGAATTTGTAGTGTTTTTGGAAGAGGTGAAGAATAACCTGAGCTTTTTGTTTGTTTGCTTGTTTTTTCAGTTGGGTTTATGTGGTTGAGAGCAGAGCTGAAGTATCTTGTCGGAGCACAAGATCAGCTAAATCGGTCTGTAGGATGCAGAAGCAGCTAGACAAAATCGAGTACCTGGGGTCTGGAAAATGGCCATAAAACATGGAATTTAATTGGAAACTTTCTCCAGGAAGCTGTCTCTCAACACCCACTGTCCCCTGTGCTGCCTGGAAATCCAGCTGTAGCCCAAGCCTGAGAGCGTTTATTGGGCCATTTGTCCTGATTTGCCCCCTCCCTTCCCCCCTTACATAGATATACCCGTGTCAGAGCAAGTTGAAACGCTTCTGATGTTGGGGCGGTTCATGGCTGAACAGTTTGCAACCCTGGGGTCTTATGCCTTGGATGTGGGCATCCCACCTTCTTGCACTGTGGCAGCAGTGGGGCTCCCATGCCTGCAGAGGTGTCCAGCCATGAGCCTCTCCTGGAGATTAAGGATGAGGGCCCAGTGTACCTGACTGCGGGTCTCCAGGGACAGCGCATGTCAGGTCTGTGGTGGTATGGTGTTAAACTAAACCAGTTTCTTCAGTTGGGATGATGCAGTTTCTTGCTTGAATCGAATCATTGTGATTTCCAGCAGGAAGCTTTCAGGTGGCCCTCCTGTCCTTTCCCTTCGCAGACTAAAAGGAAGCAGCACAATGAGACTTGTTCAAACCCAACTCTGATGGTTTCACCCATCAGCAGTGTGGGTCTTCTGTCCAGGGATATTTGGGGCTGGACGAGCCACATTGTGTGGTGGCACTTAGGTAGTGTGGGTCCGCTGCATCATCCCCAACGGTTACTGCAGACCATGCTGCTGGAGCTGCTTTACATGCCCTGCCTCTGTGCCTGGTGGGAGGTGCAGAGCGGGCAGAGCCTTGCACAGAACACTAAATGGAGAGCTCGGGGTTTTGTTTTCTGAGGGATGGCACAATAAAATGCTTTTGAGTCAAGGGCTTGCTCGCCTCTGGTAACGCAAGACTCGGCACCTGGCTGGGAGTCGAGGGAGGCTGCCATGTCCAGCTCATTTGCTTCCCATCCTAGACGCCTCTGATTGCCAGTCCCTGCCTTGTCCTTCCATACACACCTCTTGTAGCTCTCCTTTTTCTTTTTCTGGTCTCGGCCAGTTGCCTGTCTGTCCTCTAACTGCAGCCTGCTAACCCCTGATGCGGGAGGGTCTGGTGTAGCTCCCTTCCCACTCCTGTTTGAAAGCCTAAAACTGACACAGCCCTCCTGCAGCTCCTCCTCCCTTTGATGTCTCTCCTTCACTCGCATGCAGTTTGCTTCAATAAATTATTGTAGTAGTTTGCAATAAACTTTTTTTGTATTTTTTTCCCTGTATTTATTTTATTTTTTTTCCTCTTCCCAGGGAGGGAACGGAGGGGGTGCAGGGCCCTTGGCCTGCTCTTAGTGCCCTGGAGAGCTTGGGGGTGCTGTGTTCAGGGTGGGCAGTGGTGTGTGGGCAGGGGCCTCTCTCTGGGGGTCCTGAGGCGCAGGGTTTGGGACGGGGGCTGTGGCAGCTGGAGTTGGGGGGGGGGCTCCTGGAGCTCAGCAGCACTTTCTGCAGTAGCCACCAGGTGGCAACGATGCTGTTGGGTTGGCCAGCGGCCCGGGGAGCTGGGGCACTCCTGTCCCCGTTCCCCCCCACCCCGAGCCAGTCTGGTGTAAAGCTTGGTATACTGTGATACTAAAGGGAAACTGCTTTTCATCTCCTGTTTTTTTCTCTTAATCTGGATAGTACATAACCAAAATAAACGTACTGAGGAAAAACCAAGCCAACTACAAGGGCTGTTTTTTGTCTAGGTGTGTGCAGCTCACCTGTGGCGGGCGGCTGGCGTTGCCCTGGGGTGGCTGGGACCTCCTCCCCTGTCTGCAGCCCCCCTTAGGGGCAGTACCCCTCAGGGAAAGGGGGATTAGACCTGGGGGACTCAGTCCCACACAGCCGTGGGGGGAGTAAGAGGGCTGGAGGTGACCTCGACAGGCCCCTGCAGCCTTCAGTTAGGGTTTAAGTTGCAGCCCAGCCTGCAGCCAGTGCTGGATCTCCAACCCCGGGGGCTGCCCTTAATCCCTCACTGGCGAACCTGCAGCACTCTGCCCTGCTCAGGCCCCAGCCCGCTGCCCAGGCTGAGATGTTGAGCAACGTCCTGGCTTTGCTCACCTCTTCCCGGCAGTGGTTTCCTGCGCTCTGGCATGAGCCAGGGGGATTAGCGTGCTGCTAATCTCACTGCATGGGTGGGAGGGAGGAATGGGTCAGAGCTGGGGCTGGGAGCCTGTTGCTGCTGGGCAAGACACTTTGGGGCAAGGCACTTGGAGCAGCGATGCATGAGGGAATTAGGGAAATAATCTGTCGCTGTTGATCCCAGAGGCGGGAATTTGCAGCGTCGTGCCAGGCCCCAGGCGCGGAAGAGGGGGAGAGCCAGGCCAGCGGACGTGTGAGCGGAGCTCCCAGCTGGAATGCACCAGCTCAGCAAGGGATTGTCCTCCCTGGGCCAGGCAGGCGCTGCGTCCTGAGCCTGGTGCCCGTGACAGCTGCCCGGGACATGGCGGCGGCAGACAGCACCTCAGCCACCCTCCGGCGCCGTGACCTGTGCAGCCGAGGCATCCGCCTAGCTGGGAAGATGCGGTCGGATGTCGTCGACCTGCTGGACACCTACGTGAGTTTGCCCTGCTCCCTCCAGCTGCCCGCAGGGCTGGGAGCGCTGGCAGGGTGGCCGCTGCTACAGGGGTCCGGGGGGCTCCTGGCGGCTGTGCCGGGGCACGAGGTCTCTGGCCCACGGTGGAGATAACGGGGGATGAAACGCTGCCTGTCTCTGGGCCTTGGAGCTGCCAACTGATGCTTGGGCAAACCTCAAGCACCTGGCCAGCGCCAAAAGCTGAATCGGGGCCCCTTGGAGCTGTTGCTGGCAGGGCTCGGGGTAGGGGTGTCCCCCCTGTTTCTCCTGCTACTGCTGATCCCTGTCTGTCCTCGCTCCCGCAGGTGGAGCGGCAGGGCTTGGACGCCTCAGCCAGCGTGGCGGCAGTGGAGGGGGTACCAGCGGCGGCGGTGGAGCACTGGGATGAGCAGACAGGGACCCAGCGGCTGCTGGAGAACCTGGCAGCGTACCGAGCCTTCCGTGCCCTGCTGGCCCAGATGCTGGAGGAACAGCAGGAGCAGCTGGGTGAGGCTGACACTGCCCTGGGCCGGGCACTGGCAGCCGTCCTGCTCCAGGTGTCAGCCTTCACCTACCACCTTGAGGAGCTGCTGCAGCTGGAGAGCCGCGGGCCCCCCAGCGAGGAGGGGGCCGGGCCTCCCCCATCCACGCACCTCAGCCTCTTCGAGAGGAAGCTGCGGGGCCTGGGGGTGCTGCGGGAGCTGGCCCAGTGGGCTGTCAGGTCCACACGGGACCTGCGGCAGCTTGCCAAGCCCAGCCCGGGCAGCAGCTCAGCCGCCAGCCTGGCGGAGAGCCCTTGAAGGTGGGTGTGGGGTGGGGGGGGGTCCCGCTGGGGCAGAGTGGGGGTGCTCCTTGCCCGCCCCTGTGGAGGGCTGCTGGCAGCAAAGGGGGATTGTTCAGGGAGCGGGGTGGATGGGAGGGAGCATGTCATTAACCCCCGGTCCCCCCTCTACTTCTGGTGCCACTCCCTGTGGGACCCTTTTCCTCTGGGGAAACTGAGGCACGGGCTGCACGCTGCCCTAGAGGGAGCATCCCCAGGTGGGATGAGCCTTGGGGGTGGCTCAGGCTCTGCCTGCTGGGGTTTGGAATTATCCCCTGGGAAGCAGCTTTGCCACTCACCCCAGGGCCCAGAGGCCCTGGCTCTCAGTGGGCTGTGGCGGTGCTGGCATTTTCTTTGAAATTCGGTCGCTGCCCAGCTTGCCATGGCCTCGTGCCGCCTCCTGCAGATGGAAACTGCCTCAGGGCTCTTGTGGAGGCAAGGCAGAAGTGAAGGGACAGAAAAATATCACCTGGTGAAAGGAGTCTTGCGACCTGCCCCCCAGCTGCAAGACACAAGGCTTCACCTCCTTCACATGGACTCTTTTCACCAACCTGGCTTGCATTTTCTGTGCATCGAATTTCTGCTCTAACTGCTTGGGGGCTTTTTTGGGAGGGGGGACTCCAGGGGCATGATTAAAAGGGGATTTCTTAACCACTTGGACAAAGTAATGGAGAGGATCTTTTAACTGAAGGCTGTGATTCTGAAGACCTTTTGCAAGGAGGTTTGTGTCTCTAGTGGTTATTTTGGGACTGGAAACAGTATGGAGGACTAAACAGTCCCAACCACATCACTCACCCTGTGCAGGGGAATGCTGCAAGTTTTTGCAGCTGCCTGGGCTATGATTTTCTTGCTGAATGGATGTGGTGGCTGCTGGCTGCCAAGCAAATAAAAGGGCTGGGAGATTTACTGGGGTGGCGTGACTTCTTGGGGGAGGTGGGACAGTGGGGCTCAACCTCATTGGAAAGCCTGGGCTGCTCCCTTCTCACCACAGGGAAGGGTCATCCTGGTGGGGTGAGAGGTTTTGGAGGGTTGGGACCCACTGGGAGGCTCTGGGGAAGATGAAGGAACTGGGGCTGAAGGAGATGGAGGTGGGAGGGTCACTGGGGTTGTGCCCCATCCTGATGCGGCCCTGCCTTCCTCCCTGACCTGTGAGAGAGAAGGCAACACGGTCGGATATCGGGGTCACAGGGTAGGGAGGAGGCTGGGGACGTGCCCGGCTGGCCCCTCACAAAGTGGCTTTGTTGCAAGGGGTGGTGGCAGCACCGCTTGCAGCACCTGCCCCAGTGCCAGAGGCCACTGCATGGACAGGCGGGGCCCTGGGCGCTGCGGGAGGACGAAGGGTGATGCTGAGGCAGGGCCCCCAGCACCTAGCCTGCCCACCCCACCAGCCACATAGGGGCAAGCGGGGCCACAGGGTTGGGTCTGCCCCATGGAGTCGGGGCAAGGGTGGTTTGATGGTGCCCGTTTTTTTGGGTGACACCCAAGAGGAAGAACAGGTACCTTCTTCATTGCCTGACCTCAGCTTTGCAGTTCAGACCGGATTATTTGTAATGTTTCTGCTTCCCTGCATTTGGGAGTAACAATGTCTGGCCTTTATTATTTTCAGGATTAGCCAGAGTCCCTTTCCCATCAATTATTTCTCTCTCTCCCAGTCTCGTTTGCTTCGTGTGCTTGAAGCCATCTTGCTTTTCTCCCCTTGCACTCTTGTGCTCAGCAGTGGCCCGGTGCTCGCATCCTCACCCACCCACCACCCCTCACCTTCCTGAAGCTGCGCATATACATCTCACATGCCACACATTTGTCTTTGAACCCTGTGACCCAAGCAGGCAGGAACAGAGCCCTTTTCTCCCTCTGCAGCAGCCCGGGTACGAGGTGACCTTCATATCCTCGGGATCTGGCCCCAGCCCTGGCACAGGTCCGTGGAACTCGATCCTTCCAGATCAGTTGCTGGCCATGCTTCGAGCTGAGCTCGGCCTGCTGCAATTATGTTCTGGGAGTTGAAGCAGCAATGGGGATTGAAGGTGGACAATGATGTTGCTCTAGGGGCTTCCCTGGGCTGTGCCCAGCACCATGAATTTGAATTGCCACTTCTGCAACCTTCCTTATTCCTTCTTTGCTACCTTGCCAGTGGTGCACCGGTGTTTGCAAAGCACCCAAAATGCTTTGAAATGGCTGCTGTAACCAGAAACAATGTAAAAAAGCAAACCATAATCCAAACTGTTGTGAGCTTTCCAAGTGAGAGGCTCCAGAGCTTTCCCTGCCAGCAAGCCCTCACCATGCAGTAGAGAGGAGGTGACGTCTGAGCCTGCTGGGTTTTAATGCTATTTTTCAGCTGCGGACCTGAAAGGAATCACTGGTAAACTGATTTGACAAAAACAGGAGCATCTGACTGTTGAGCTCCCTTGTTGCTGGGAGGCCCTTTGGACTTGCATTGTCACGGCCTGAAGTTAGGTTGATCCGGGTGGCTGGAGGTGACGGAAGCTGTTGATTTTGGAGACAGAAATGAAGAGCTTGAGGGGAGGACAGTTGTACCCACATGGCTAATGCTGCTGAGGACCCCGAATGGCCCTCTGCAGACTAAAAACCCACCAAAAATCCATCCAAGATTGTGCTTTGGGAAGAAAGGATTTGCAGTGCTTGTGGGAATGGGGAAGGCAGGGAGGGCAGCGTTCCTGAATTCCAGCAGAGAAGGAGCCACCAAAACCAACGCACGGATGTGTTTAATTTCAAAAAATAAATGTTTGGGCTTAATGGGTGGTTGGGTTGGGCACACTTTGTGGGGTTGGAAAGGTTTTAAACCAACTGCTCCCTGACCTCAGGCATGCTCATACTTGGGTGCTGGCATCAGCTCTGGGCAAGCATAGATTCACCCCTTGCCAACGGTACACCAGAGGCAGGTAGGGTTCAGCTGTGCTGGTTCCACCAACTCACCCATCCCCTTGCACCATCCTGCACCATCATTGCGGTGCTGGCTTCTGAATTTTTGATCCTGAGCTGGGGTGAGAATGTTCACTAACACTTTCCTTTTTTAATAGCAGGAAAACCTTTTCCTCCCACCTGAGTCAGTGGAAAGGATTTCCCTGGGTTTCCCCTCGTGACCTTGGCTGCACTTGCCTGCCCCAGAGGAACAGGTGAAACACCAGAGGAGCAGATCTCTGCTGCTGCGCTATCCTTCTTGGGAAGGGCCAGGAGCTCTCCCTTCTTGCAGGAAAATGTGCTTCAAGTGTGGCCCTGTGAGCTGGAAGGAAAGATTTGCCTGAACTTCTGCAGTTTGCCTCCTCCTCCTCTCTCACCATGGTGCTTACCAGCTGGTATCACCACAGTTAGTTCCCACCTGTTTCTTCCCCCTCTTTTTTTTTTTTTTGCTCCCTTTTTTCCTCTATTTAGATCTTGCCTAATGGTTTCTCACCACAAGTGCTGCTGGCAGACGCTCAGTGGGCTGGGCAGTGCCTGGGAAACAGGTTTGTCAGGAGAGGAGCTACACTTGCCCTGGGAGCTCAGCAACACGGTGGATCCCTGTGTCCTGGGGATGAGTCGTCACCTGAGCTGACATGGACCAGGGGATTTGCTGGTGCTGGGAAACCTGTGCATGTGGGACATGGATGCAATTTGTACACTTGTCTCCAAATCAGGCAATGTGTTTAGTATCCCATAACTTGTTTAATGTCCAAGAAAATTAGTGTTTTGTGTGTGTGAGTGCAGGAGCACTAAATGATGATGAGACCTGATGCCAGCAGTTGCCTGTCGCCGACATCCCGTTGTTCAGAGCTGCCCTGGGATGCTGCTTGTGGGGCTCAGTGCAAGAACAAGCTCAGGATGAACTTCTTTTGGGGCTGTGGGGAAAGGCCAGCACCAGCTGCTCCAGTCCCAGGGAGTCACCGTAAAGCCGTAAGTTGGAGGAGCATCCTGGAGGACTCACAGTCTCACACCGGGGTGGATCTGCATGAAAATCTCCCCCAAAAGCACTCCCCAGGGAAACTAAACTGTGGCAGGCAGCTGGGAGAGCTGGGGCTGCAGCCCCGGGTGCCCCTCAAGGCACACGTCGATTTTGGGGCTTTGAACCCATTTCTGTGCACTACGGGCCATGGACAGGGGCACCTTACCAGGCTGCTCCCCCACAGGCGCTGCAGCCTGGGGCGGGGGATAGTTAAAGCTCTTGGATCACGTTTCTCTATCACAGCAGTGCAAGAGGTGGGGTCCGGCCTTGTCCTGCCTTGGGTCAGGCGTGACACCCCCCAACAGCCCGAGTCCCGCTGCTGGCGGGCGTGGGGCCGGGGTGGTGCGAAGGGATCGGTGCCCAACGGAGTCTCCCGGCAGTACCCGGGCTGCGGTCTCGGTTAGGGGCTTGGGGGACACCGGGAGGTCCTTGGGCTCCAGGGCGGGCGGGCAGGGGGGCACTGAGAGGGGTCCCAAGGGTGCAGGCTGGGCGTGCAGGGACACTGGGGTCTCGGGGTACGCGCGCGGGCGCGCCGGGGTACAGGGTCCCGCGGGGCGCGCTGGACCGAGCCACGCCACACCCCCCCCCCCCCCCCCGCCCCCGGCAGGAATGGTTTCTCCCGTCCGCTCCGGGATGCCCGGGGCCGCCGGGCCGGGGCCGGCGCGGTGACGTCAGGGGCTGGGCGGAGCCGCCCGGCGGGGAGCGGCGCTGCGGTCCGCCGCGGCGCTGAGGGGCGGCCTCGCCTCCGCGGCCGCGCGCGCGCGGCGGCCGGCCCCGGGGCGGGGGCGGGCAGAGCCCTGCGCCGCGCCGAGCATGCGAGTGCCGGCGGGGCGGGCTGTGGCGGCCGCGGGGCGTCTGCGGCGGCCGGAGCCGGAACCGGAGCCGGGGCCGGGGTCGGCGGCGCGCCGGAGCCATGCTGCTGGCCTCGGCCGTGGTGGTGTGGGAATGGCTGAACGAGCACGGGCGGTGGCGGCCCTACAGCCCGGCCGTCAGCCACCACATCGAGGCGGTGGCCCGCGCCGGGCCGCGGGCGGGTGGCAGCGTGGTGCTGGGGCAGGCCGACAGCCGCCTGGCGCCCTATATCATCGACCTGCAGTCCATGCACCAGTTCCGCCAGGACACCGGTGAGTCAGCCGGAGAGAGCCGCCGGCCGGCCGGCCGACCCCTGCCCGGCCCGACCGGGCCCTGCGCCGCGCTCCCCGGGCCGCGATCGCGTTGGTTCGCGCTGCTTTGCATCGCCGGGTGCCGCGCAGACCTGCTTGGTTGCACGTTGCACCGGGCTCCCCGGTCTGGCCTTGGCGGTGCTCGGCGCCGCGCAGCACTGTCCGAGGCCCCCCCCGGCCTGGCACCGCACGGTAACTCCCCTGCTCTAGAGTCGTATTGCACAGCGCTGCTCCTTCTAGCGCAGCCCAGCCTTGCCGGGTCTCACGCCGTTTCGGGCTCCCTGCTCGCAGTTGCATTGCACCGTGCTGTGCCGCCGGGTCCCGTCCAGCGCTGCTCTGCCCTGGTCCTCGCTGCACCGAGCTGTACAGGATTGTGGTGCCAGGCCCCACGCTGCCCTGCCCGGTCAGATGCTTTCCTGCCTGACACGACTGATCTGGGTTTGCTCTGTATTTCCAGGTTCCTTATTGCATTGCACTGATTGGTGTAGAGTAGCACCGTGCAGTGCTTAACTGCCAGGTCCGGTATCGCATAGCGCTGCCTGCTCTGGAATTGCATTGCATGGTGTTGCACAATGCTGTGCTGCCAGGTCCCATACTGCATTGCACTGCCTGATCTGGAGCTGGGTTGTGCTGTGCTGCCTTTCCCCATCCCGTATTGCATTGTGCTGCCTTGCCCTGCATTATATCCCATTGCCTGCTCTGCCATCGTGTTGCTGGCTGTACTGCGCTGTGCTGCTGGGTGCTGTGTTGCGTTATACTGCCTGATCCTGGATTGCGGTGCCTGGTCCCATACTGCATCTGGATTTGCCTTGTGCCGCCCTGCTCTGCTTGCCCTGAAATTGCACAGCTCTGCTCCTCGCTGCCCAGCCTTGCCTGCTGCTGCCTAAGCCTACACTGCTTGGGGTTGCCCACTGCCAGCTGTGTTACGCCATCCCGCCTGGTCCCCGTGTGCTTGCTGTATCCCATGCTGCCTGGCCCTGCCTGCCTGTTCATGGTCCCTTAAGGGGTTGTGCTGCCTGGTTACATCCCTGGGCCCTGTTGCATGCCACAGCCTTTTCCTCTCCTGGCCTGCAGTCCCTTCGTGTGTGGAGCCTGTCCCCTGCAGACCCTTCCCAGGGCCCTGCCCCACCATGCCCAGCTCCCTCTGTGCTATCTCTGAGCCGCCATCAACCCCAAAGGCCTGGTGCTGTACAGTGCTTGAAGGCCAAATCCTGCCCTGGGTCACAGCAGCCCATGGGGGTGCCCAGGGTGGGGGCACGAGCAGGTGAGGGGGTGCTCAGGAAGGGCACAGGCAGGTGGGGTGGTCCCCAGGGTGGTGGCTTGGACAGGTAAAGGGGGTTGTTTGGGGATGGGGAGACAGTGAGAGAGCATGGGGGTCCCCAGAGTGGTGGGAGTGTGGAAGGATTCCCAAGGTGTTGGGGCACATATGGCCCTGAGATGGTCTGGGATGTGGGGCACAGGCACCTGTGGGGGAGAGGTTGGCACGGGGGATTTGTACTCCCACAACACCCCAGTGATGGCCACGGGTAGGGGACCAGACAATGTCCTTTGTCCCTGGGACAGGGGGTGCTGGGTGCAGTGGGATTCTGGACACCCTTTTTTGTCTTTCTTCTCCCAGCAGCCCTGGGGGCTGGTGGGGACCCTCCCCTGCCTGGGGGTGTGGAGACAAGGGACCTCTACCACAGGGTTGGGGGCCAACCTCTGAGAACTATTGTTGCCCACAGAGGAGGCCTGAAAGGGGGATTGTTCTGTCTCTCCCTGGGTTGCTGGGGATGTTGGTATTTTGGGTCATTAAACAACTCTGATTTGGGGGGGGTCGCGACCCTGGCAGGCCCTGAATAGCTATTGTCCCTTTTCTTCCCCTGCTGAATGGGAGGCCGGCTGGCTGTGCTGGGCTGGGGGGACACACAGCATTCCCACACCGCCGCCTGGGGACTGCCAGATGCCGCATGCCGCCACTGCTGCCCTCCCCACCTCGTGCCAGATTAGGATAAATCACCGCCCCGCTCCGTTCCAGCTCCGCTTTGTGCTGCCAGTGCCGGTGGCTTTTCTCCCCTGGGTGCCTCTTTGCAGGATGGGGATGGGTGGCCTGACTTTTCCTTGGGTGCAGCTGCCCCCCATTCTCCATAGCTGGGCGCTCGATATGCGCCTGTCATTAGTGTGCACATTGCACTAATAAACAGCTTTTCCTTTTTAGCCTGCTTTTTTTGTGGGAAGTGGTCCTGTGTGGGGACTGATGGTGGCAGCTGCTCCCACCAGAGAGGTGGGGGTGAAAAGGGACTGAAATTCTTGCAGGCTTTACGAGACACATGGTGAAAAGCTGAAGAGGCAGGCTTATTATTTCTTTTCTTTGAGCTTTCTTGTTCCTACTGCTGGCAGTGGGGCCAAGCCGTGGGGTTTTGCAGAACATGGAGGCAGAGATGCTCGTGAGCTCATCCCACCTATTAACCAAACAACTCTGAGTGCTAGTAGCGTGCTCAGGATGGCCATGTTCAGCCTGCCCTGCTGTGCCATGAAAGATCCCAAAAAGGAAGGCTTTCTCCTTATTGTAGGAGTTTACAAAATTTGTGTCCGTGCTTTGAACGTGTCCCAGTCAACTGGGAGCGGTGGGAAAGGAAATGCCTAGCAAAAATAAGGATGCAAGCCACAAAGCCTACATGCTTTGCACTCCCATCCCACTTTTAATGCTTGCTGACAGGGGAGCAGGAGCCAGGCACGGGGTCCTGCTTGAACTCCTTTGCTTGGCCTCGCAGGGATTTTCCCCGTGCCATGGTCTGGGTTTTTGTCGGGGGCCAGTTTGGCATCCTCAGATGGTGGGACTGGCATGAGCCCCACGCCCCTGCACATGTGGGTGCCTGTGCATGTCACCGCTGTGGGGATCAGAGCTGCCACTTAAATCTTTTATTCCCCAATTCCAGTCCAGAGCTGAAGAGGGAGACAGGGTCGTGGCGGACACTGCAAGAGTCTGGTGCCTACATGCCTGATTTCATCAGGCTCCCGTGGGAGGTTCCTGGGAGCAGGTTGGAGTGGCCAAGCTTGTGGTTCCGTGTTTCCCTATCAGGACTGAGTGGCTAGGTAGGGCGGCCACCACTGTAGACCGATGGGGGTGATATCTGACCTTCCCTCACCCCAGTCACCCTGGGGGTGCACCCCAGAGCTGTGCGCTTACAGCCCAGGGACTCCCTGGTCTTTTGGGTGTGCCGGTAGCAAGCCTGGGGAAACCAAGGCACACCAGTCCGTTGGCAGGGTGGGGACAAAAGCTAGGTTGGAAAGCTGTCCTGTCCCCTTGCTGAACTGCACCGGTGGGGCAGGTTGGGGTGGTTTCGCTCCCTGCCCGCAGATGGGTGCTGGCGCCAGGGTCTGACGGCACTTCTCACCCTCCCTCAGGCACTATCCGTCCTGTCCGGCGCAGCTACTACGACCCGTCCTCGGCACCAGGCAAGGGAGTTGTGTGGGAGTGGGAGAACGACAGCGGGTCGTGGACGCCCTATGACATGGACGTGGGCATCACCATCCAGCGCGCCTATGAGAAGCAGCACCCCTGGGTCGACCTGAGTGCCATTGGCTTCTGCTATGTCATCGACTTTGCCACCATGGGCCAGATCAACCGGCAGACCCAGCGCAAGCGCCGTGTCCGCCGCCGCCTCGACATGGTCTACCCGCTGGTCTCGGGCACCCTGCCCAAATCACAGTCCTGGCCAGCCAGCCCTGGGGTGGCAGCAGCGGCCCCCCCGGTCCCCACCTGCGCCTGCCCCCAGTGCCTCCTGGTCATGAGCGTCAAAGCCACTGTGTCAGCCGCTGGCCCCGGCACCACCACCCTGCAGCCCCGCAAAGCACCTCCTGTGCCACCCGCCGCCCCCAAAGCCCCGGCGCCGGCCCCAGGGGCCAAGGCCCCTGATGGCATGGCCATGGTGCGTGGCTCGCTGAAGCCGCTGGCGGCCCAGGGGGCCGGCGGCAGGCAGCCAGCACGCCTGCCTTGAGCTCAGCCAGCTCCACCACCAGCCCCCCTGGCGCGGGCAGTAGCAAGGCATCCCGTCCTGGCCTCAGCACCCTGAACCGCAGCCACCTCCAGCGCCTGGCCATCGCCCAGTCCCGGGTGCTCATTGCCTCTGGGTGAGTCCTGCCATCTGGAAGCGAGAGGGTAGCTGCGGGGAGAACAAGGGCAGCACGCTTGTATTTTTTTTCCCCCTCTCTGGGGCACAAGGGCCGCAGCCCCATGGGGCTGCCCACTGCCGGGGTGCTATCACCTGTGAGCCTGGTGGGAGACAGACTTCTGTGGTCTTCATCCTCCTGCGGGCAGAGGGCTCTGGTGGACCCCTCATCTTCCCCGCGGGTGCCTGGGGAGTGGAGCGAGGACGTTCCTGCATTTCAATGAGAAGGCTGAGGCTGCTTTTTCTCTTGGTGGCAGGGGATGGGTAGGGGACTGTGAAAGGCCCGAAGAAAAGCCATTCAGGCCTCATGAGAAGGGGTCCCTCCAGACTCCCGCCCTCCAAAGACACATTTTTTTTTGAGGGGGTGGGAATTTAATGAGTTTGTTTCTCCCCTTTGTCTGGCTCTGCCGACAGCCTTCTGTCGCAGCCTGGCCCCTTTCCTTTCCCTCTACATCCTCCCCCTTCCCTCCATTCCTGACCCGCCGGGAAACTTTCCCATGGAAGAGAGCCCCAAGGGGAGGGAGGGGAAAGAGCTGTGGTGGTAGCTACGTGGCCATAGGAGAAAAGAGGAAAAAAAAAAAAAAAAATCAGACCAGACCCGAGGAGCGATGACAAAAAGGGGCCGTGAATGGAGAAGCAGGCGGGGTTTCTAAAGAACAAGAGAACAGGCAGTGGGGGGGGGGGGGGGCACGTTGCCCCATCGGGGGATTCTCTCTTTCCAGCCAGGGCCCGTGCAGTTGCTCAGGTAGCTATTATCTGACCCCTGGGGGCTGTGGGGATACGGGTGCCTGCCACTGGCCCTGACGTGGTCTCTTCTGGCTCCTCGCAGTGTCCCCACCGTCCCTGTGAAGAACCTTACTGGCTCCAGCCCCGTCAACCCAGCGCTGGCAGGTGAGGATGGGGCCGCAGCAGGGTGCCTGGTGGCCATAGGTGCTGGCCTCCCTGGGGGGGCAGTCAGCCCCAGCAGGGTGGTTTTGGGGAGAACATCTGGAGTTTGGAGTAATGCTGGTTCCTCTGTGCCATTTCGAACCCCATCACTCAGGGATCACAGGGATCCTAATGAGCGCGGCCGGGCTGCCCGTCTGCCTGACACGGCCCCCCAAGTTGGTGCTGCACCCCCCACCCGTCAGCAAAAGTGAGATCCAGTCCATCCCTGGCATCTCCCACACCTGCCGCAAGACCACCAAGAAACAGGCCAAGAAGGGTGAGAGGCACTTTGCCGCTTGGCCCCTGCTCCTGTCCCCCCCTACTTCCTTACCTGATTCCTATGGCCCCCCAGTCCCTTCCCGCTACCCCCAGCAGTGGGTTGCCCTTGTGCTGCCCTCCAGCCCCTCTGACTCTTGCTCTCCCACAGGTAAGACCCCAGAGGAGGTACTGAAAAAATACCTGCAGAAGGTGCGGCATCCGCCGGATGAGGTGTGAGCAGTGGGGGTCACACTGGGGTGTTTCCAGGGTGCTTTTCTCTGGAAGGAGTGACTGGGGGCATGGGCGATGGCCCGTGCCAGGCAGGGGTCTCCTGCTGCTCCTTCTGACTCTGTTCTGTCCCTGTCCCCCCTCCAAAGAGGGGCTGTGTGCTGCACGCACGAGTTGGCTGGCCCCTGCGGTGGCCCGTGATGACAGCGTGACACCAAGGGTGGTGGGTGCTGGTCCCCGGGCAAAAGCAGGGCAGCTCGAGTCGGGTGTCCTCGGCAAGGCTCCGGCCGCATCCGTCCGTCTGACCTCTCTTCTCCCCTTCCACACAGGACTGCACCATCTGCATGGAGCGCCTCTCTGCACCCTCTGGCTACAAGGGACCCCAGCCAGCTGTGAAACCCGACCTGGTGGGGAAGCTGGTAAAATGCAGCCACGTCTTCCACCTCCACTGCCTGGTCGCCATGTACAACAACGGCAACAAGGTACAAGGCTTCAGCCCTGGGGGATGCCTGAGCCTCCACCTCGGCGACCTGTGCTGAGCTCCACCTGCCCTCAGCAGGACGGTGCTTGAGGTCTGACCTCCCCACGCTAGAGAGTTTATTTTTTATCAGCAGCAAGCACTTTGGGACTTCTAAATCAGAAAGCAGGGTTGTGCTGGTGCTTTTTCCCCCACTATGCCCAGTTTTATGTCGTTGCTTTCCTTCCCCGGGTTAATGGCAGTGAACTTGATCCCTGCATGTTTGAGCAGAGCTACCTGGCATCTGATGCTGGGCAGTGCTTTTCCAGCCACAGGTGGGCTTTTCTGAGCCCCTTGCAAATGATGCTTGTGATTGACATTCGCACGAAAATGCGTTTCACATTGCTTGGGGTTGTTTTTATTATTTGTTATCTGTCCCTGTTTGGAAAAAAAAAAAAAACAAACAAAAAACACCAAAACGAAACAAAAAAACTCCCCAACCAACGAACCAAACAAAAAAAAAACCCCAACAATAACAAAACCCCAAACAAAACCCAAAACAGAGGTAGGGAAATTAGTGAGGACTGTAAAATTGATGAGGAAGAGAAATGCAGACCTCGGGTTTTTGGTTAAAGTTGGGTTGCCATAGCAAATTCTCACAGCCCTACCCCCTGCTTCCTGAGTGGTTTTGAAATTACTGTTTTCATGATGAAAACAGTGTTCAATGCTGCTCAGGAACGAAGTGCTCACTCTGGTTTGGTCTTGGGGGATACCGGTTTCATTATGTTCCTCTCTTTTCCTGCTCTCAGGATGGAAGCCTACAGTGTCCCACCTGCAAAACCATCTATGGGGTGAAGACAGGGACGCAGCCCCCGGGGAAGATGGAGTATCACATCATCCCTCACGCGCTGCCTGGCCACTCTGACTGCAAAACTATCCGCATCATCTACAACATCCCCCCAGGGGTGCAGGTGCGGCCCAGCCCTGTGCCCAGGGCGGGTACATGGGTGATCCCCTGTGGGGGCTGGTGGCCCTTGTCGCGGCTGCGTCACCCCTGGGTCATGCTGCGGCTCATGCCTTGGCTCAGGGCTCTTGGTTCAATGATGTTTTGGGAGCTGTGTGTCTGTAATGATGGTGTGGGAAGTCTAGGGTATGTCTGCATGGAAGTGTTAGCCCCACCTGCTCGGTGGCAGGGGGGAATGGTGGTGCTTAGGGCCACTGTGCTGGAGTGTGGCCTCCAAGCACAGCAGTGATCAGCTCTGCATCCGCTGAGCTTGGGAGGTTACTTTGTGCCCAGAGCATCCTTTTGAGCTCCAAAAGGGTTCTGTTCCTCTCCCGCTCCACACACTGCAGGGACCGGAGCATCCAAATCCTGGGAAGAGCTTCACTGCCCGAGGCTTCCCGCGGCACTGCTACCTGCCGGACAGCGAGAAGGGCAGAAAGGTGAGAGGCTCAGCTGCGCACCTTCTGCTGGACAAGACCTGCTCAAGGGTGTATTAAAGGGTGCAGGGAGTGAGCAGCTCTCTGGAGTATGGGGAAAAGTCGATGGGGCTTATGTAGGCAAATCTGGGTGGAGGTTTTCCCTGTAGTCCATCCAGTATGCACCGCAGGAGCCCAGCAACATACCCATGTGCTGGGGGAGCTCTGCAGCCCGGTCCTGCAATTTCAGTTGGGGTAGGACCCCTTGCTGGGATCCCGAGTTCTCTGGGAGGACTTGGCTGTGGGTTGCCCACGTTGCCACAGTGTACCAGGATGATCAGGCATGCCCTGAGCAGAAGTAGGTCCTTTCCCCTCCGTGTTTGCCTTCCTGCCTGCCCCATCTCTCCCTTCCACAGGTACTGAAGTTGCTGCTGGTAGCCTGGGACCGGCGCTTGATCTTCGCCATCGGGACCTCCAGCACCACAGGCGAGTCAGACACAGTGATCTGGAATGAGATCCACCACAAGACAGAGTTCGGCTCCAACCTCACTGGCCATGGCTACCCTGACATCAACTACCTGGACAATGTCCTGGCTGAGCTTGCGGCCCAGGGCATCACGGAGGAGAGCCTGATTCAGGAGAAGGACTGAGACCACAGCAGGGAGGCAAGGGAAGGCTTGCCTGTGCCCCCAAGGATAAAGGTGCTGGAGAAACCCGCCTGGGGGCTTTTCAGGGGGCACCTGAAGCCCACCACTGCCAGTGGCACCCGCCAAGTGGGAGCATCCCCAGGCTGGCTGGGAATGCAGGAGAAGGTCCTTTTGGCCATCCCCTTCACTCCTGTGCGGAGGGAGCTTCCGCCCACAGAGCTGCGGGGCTTCATGGTGGCCTGGCCATCACTTCCAGCTGGTGTCCTGTCTATCCCCACTGCCTCTCTACTGAGGGCTCGGAGGGTACCGGGCTTCCCTCCTCATCTACTGGATGGTCCCGGCCTGGCCCAATACCCCTGACGCCTGCCTGGGGCTGGGACCTGGCCTGGGGTGGGAGTGGGAGCCGTGGGAGTCCCCCTTGCTCTGCCTTGTCCCTCAGCCGTCTGTTCGTTTGTTTGTTCTGTCCGGTACCACCTCCCCGCTGGTCTCCTGTGTCCTCAGAGGCTGGGGGGGCCCTGGTCTGCCTTGGCTGGCCCCCCAGCCCAGTGCCCCCTCTCCTCTTGGCTATGTCTGAGCTGTGTCCTGCAGGGTCCACTTGTTTGGGTTTGCTGCCCTGCCTGTCCCTCCCCCCCGCCCCCAATCTGGGGAGGGGTCGGTGGGTAGTAGGAAGTAGGGGGGCAGTGGGGAGAGGCGTGTTTCCTGGACTGTCTCCCACTCCTCATCTAGTGGGTTCCTTGAACTGTTCGTATGGGGGCGTCCCCATGTTGAATTTTTATATACCTCACGTTTTGGGGTTTTGTCGTATATATGTACATATAGGTGGTGGCATTTTGGGAGGTGACCTGGGTGCTGGGTGAAGGCAGTGCTGTGGCCAGATTGGTGACTGAGTCCGCTGGCGCTCGGGGAGGGGAAGGGGATGAGGGTAGCACTGCTCCCCTACTGTGGGGGCCCCCTGCCCCAAACCGTCAGTGCCCCACGGTGGGGCTGTCGCCGGTGGGGCCAAAGGCAGGTGTGGGTGGCAACAGTTCCCCTTCCTGCTGGGGAGGCCTTGGAGAGGTGGGGGGGGGGGAGGGTAGGCAGCTGGCTGACAGTGGGTTGGCACGGCAGTTGGGTTGGGGCCAGGGGGGTTGGCATGGGGAGGGGAGTGTGGGTGGCGGTGGTGGGGTGGCATGGAATCTTGGGGTCCCTGCCAGCCCCCAGGGGTCTTCGTAGGGCCTCTCAGAGCCACGTATGATGATGGAGTTGCCAGGTAGATCGCCACAGCTCTGGGAGTTGCCCTGGGGGCACTCTCCCCATTGGTGGAGGCTGGCTGCGCTCACGCTCCTGTCTCGTGAGACCCCACAGGGTTGGAAACTGGAATGGGGGGCAGCACCCAGCACTTTCCAGGCCGCCCCAGCCCTGCACCATTGCTCCCTGGAGGGTTGGGGCCTCCTAGCCCATTTTGTGGCCATTCCCTTCTCAGTTTTCTGGGGCGGGGGGGTGGGGGGGATGTTACCTCACCTTCTGTCCCATGGGACAGTGGTGCAGGAGGGGCACCTGTCCTGCTGTGCATCGTTCTGTTGCTGTTTTTTCTCTCCCTGGTGTGGGGGGGGTGCATCGCCCCTAGCTGGCCACCCTGTGGAGGGAGGGGTGTAGGAGTCAATAAAGCAGATGGCAGGGGACACTCGCTGTCCCTGCACGGCCTGGCCTCTCTGTTGTCTTCTGTCTGTCGTCTGTGTGGCCAGGTAAGCAAGGGGGGCACCATGGGGAGGGCCGGGCACCCCTTGTCCCCCTGATGCGCCTTTGCACCGGTCTGTCCCCTGCCATCCTTAGCATGGGATGTTGTTTTCTACCTCAAGGCAGAAAAACCTCTTTCCCCAAGAAAATTTCCATTTTGGGCGGCTCTGCAGCCAGGGGAGCTGCAACAGTGTGGTTTCTCTTCCGCCGGAGCCCCGGGCTTCCCCCACTGCATAAAAATACTGGCTGGAGCTATGCAAAACCCTCCTGTGATCTGGGGGAGGAAAGGGGTTTCCCCCACCCACCCCAGGTACCAGCCTGATGGCTCTTCAAGTGACACAGTCTTTTCATAACATGACTTTTTTTCTTTTTTAATGCTGTGTTGCCTACACAATTAGTTGCTGGCTGAAATAAAACTGATCCGTGCCTCTCTGCATGTGTGTGTATATCTATCCCGATAGATATACATGGAGACAGGGCTTGCTCTTCAGTTGCAGGGGACAGAAATTGGTGGCTAACCCTGCACGTGTTTCCATGGGGCCCCTCTGCTCCCTCCTTTCCTGTGATGCAAAGCATTGATAATGCCGTCTGTGCTGGCCCTAGGTGCCTGCAGTAGCTGGGGGGTCTTTTCCCAGGAGTCAGGCCCCAGCCCGCGTGCAGACCCAATGTTTTCACAAGTAGGAAGTCTCCACCGTGGATGGGCTAGCGTCCTGCTGGTGTTTCTGTGTATCAGAGGAGGGTAGGGAGGGGGTTGTACAGCTTCCCCTGTTTTTTTGGGGGGGCCAGCATGGGGGAAAGAAGACATGGCTGTGCCCAGGGTTTTCTTGGGCACCCCAGTGTCCCCAGGGGCTGGTTGAAGGGCCCTGGGTCCCCTTCTTTGGTTTTGGGGTAGGGGATCAGCTGGGGCAAGGTTTGCAGTGGAGGGGAAACCCTGTCTCTGAAAGGGCAGAGCTCTGGGACCGGTTGGAGAGGGGAGATGCAGCTGTGGGGATGCAGGGGCTGATGACAGGTTGATGCTGGGAGTTGGCCTCCCAGGTCAGCCAGGGAGGAAGGTCTGAAGGGCCGTGAAGCCTCCCAGGTGCTCAAGGCTGGAGCTTGGGGATCTGGTGGAGGGCAAGAGCGTGTGTTGCCCCATGGAGGGAGGAGCCTGGGGTCAATGTGGGGAGAGGGACCCTTGGCTCCAGGGGGTGTAGGGCAGGGGGCTGGTGGCGCTGCGCAGCTTTGTCCCTGGAGAGGGAGTTGGGCAGGGGGGCTTTGCCTGGGTTTGGGGCACGTGGCATCGCCTGGCAACCGGGGTGGGGATGGGTGCTCACGCCATCAGCCCCCCCGGCTCTTGCTGGTACCCCTCACCCACGCTCAGCACAGTGCTGTCCTCGGGGCTTGCAGTGGCCACGCTGTCCCCTTCACCCATCGCATGATACCCCCTCGCCTTGTACTTCTGGTGGCTGTAATAGACCATCGTCAGGATGGTGGCCAGCCCTGCCAGTACCGCCACGGTGATGCCAGCCACCTCCACCCCTGTCAGCCCCCCGCCCCTCACCATCTCCACTGTGTGCTGGATCTCTTCTGGCTGGGCCAGCCGCCACGCGTGGCTCTGCCCATCCCTGACCCAGGCGCTGTCCCCATCCCCGCTGCTCACCAGCACGGTGTCGATGGCCGGCAGGTTGGTAGGGGGCCGGGTGAAGGGTGGCAGTCGTGCGGGTGGCAGTGAGCCCCCTGTGAAGATGCCAGCCTGGATGCAGTACTCCACCTGGCAGCTATCACTGATAAGTGCCAAGTGCTGGCTGAAGCCTGGAGGGCAGCTCTTGGCATGGGGGTCCTCGGCAGTGCCCTGGTGCTGCCCCGCCAAGGGGTTCCCTGCCTGGCAGCTGAAGAAGCCCCCAAAAGGCACTGCATACTGGCTGCTCCTCTCGTAATCCTGGCTCACACACACCCTGAGCTCGTCGAAGAGCTTCAGTGGGAAGTACCCCGAGGGGCAGGACTGAGCACCAGTGATGAAGTTGGCACTGTGGGCGCTGAACAGTCCCCCAAAGAGGTATCCTGAGTTTGGGGCCACCGGCCCGCTCGTGGCACACCAGTAGGCAGTGAATTGCACCCGGGAGAGCCAGAAGACGTCCCGGCACTCGTTGTGGCAGAAGATGCCGAGGATGCACTTGCTGTGGCACTCCAGATGGCTATGGCCTTCCTCCCGCTCCTGCGTGCCCAGCAGCACTGGAGTGTAGGTAGTGGGACAGGAAAAAGCCCCAGTGAGGGGGTTCCTCTGCTCCAGTCCCTTGCACAGAGTACCGGTGTCAGGGCCGGCCAGCCCGGTGCACTCCTGGAAGAGTCCCCCAAAGGTGAAGTTGGTCATGGTGCCCTCACAGGATCCATCATCAGCATTGGCATGGAAGTTGAAGTTGGGCGAGGTTACATCAGTGCAGCCCGGGTAGGTATTGAAGGTGTAGTAGCGGCGGATAGCCATCTCCACTCGCCTGGCCAGCTTCTTCACCGTGGGAGTGGGCAGCTCTGGCAGGGTGGTGGGGTTGATGAAGAAGTACAGGGGCAGCCCTGAGCGGTCAAGAGCCACCAGGTGGTTTGTGATTCCCTCCTGCCAGGTCTTGAGGGTGATGCCTGGGTAAAAGGGGGTCCCACCGATGCTCTCTACCCTAGAGCTGGTGCGGTTCTCTAGATACTGCTTGGTGAAGCCAGAGCTGATGTCCAGGGACTCCTCATGTTTCACATTGATGATACTGTGGAAGGCCACACCTGCTGAGGCTGTGACAGCATTCCGTGTGCCCCAGCTGTCCTTCAGGAAGGTCGCCTTGATCTGATCCTCCTGTACCAAGCTGGCTCCAGCATCCACGGAGGTGATGGTGTGGGTGCCATAGTTAAGCACCAGTACCTCAGCCAGAAAATCAGCCATCCGTGTCTGGTTGTTCTCCAGGTGGCTGGCAATCAGCAGCAGCTGCTTCTTGAAGCCCTTGTCCAGGACTGCCCCTGGGTTGATCTTGGCAGTGTAAACCAGGTTCCTGACTTGCACTCGGGTGGTGACAGCGTGGTCTTTCACTTGGTGGGTCTTGGTCCGGTGGAAGTCGTAGGAGAACTTGCCATTGATGGAGGAGAAGAGGGATAGCTCCAGGTTGATGGAGGCAGAAGTGATGCTTTGGTAATCTTTCCAGGACTCGATGATCTCGGAGTTGATATCCAGGTTGCTCTGCTTGCGAGGGATAGTGAAGATCTCATCTGGGATGATATAAGAACCATCTTCCGTGGTCTTACACAGTGAGTAGTCCAGGTTGATGACTCTGCCCATGTCCAGATTCCTGAGGTTATCCCAGCCCCCCCCCGGCAGGACTTCCAGACTTGGGAGGTTCAGGGCCTTTTTGCATTCTGGAAACCCCGCAGAGAAGGACAGCTCCTGGGACTGCTCAGCCCCTCTTACCCAAGCCATGGACACCCAGGCGAGCAGGATCCCCCGCAGCACCCGGTCCATGGCTGCCCCGGCACAGGGCCCTCACCAGACGTCCAAGCGGCGAGGTGGGAGCTGGGGAAATGAGCTGGCTGGAGCTGCAGCTGCTGAATAGTTCCTCCTTTTGGGGGTTGAATTAAGAGGGAAAGGAGAAGTGAGAGCTATTGAATGTGAGAAATGACCGAGCGGAGCTGAGACAAATGGGCGGGAAGAAGAAAGTAGAGGTGCCTGGAGCTCATCGCTTCCCTGTTGCAGAAGCTCCCTCTGCCCATGAAAACTGCTCTGCTGGGGGTGGGGCAGGGAGAAATCCCACCTTCGGCACTGCACTGTGTCTGGGGAATTTTGTGCTGTGAATCTCCCTTGGCCAGTGCTTGGGTGACTCTCCTAGATGAATCCCCCCTGTCCCTGGGTGACTCTGGCTCCTTTGTGCCGTGCAGGGGACGTGTCCCCAGTCCCGCAGCCTCGAGGTCCCAATCGCATGACAGGGTGAAATCTGGCCCTGGGCACATGGGCTTTGCTGCTGACTCCAAGGCTTCCTTCCATGTCAGGGGTGACGAAAGGCAGCGTGGAGGTGGCGCAGTGTAGTTTCAGTGTGGGGGAAAGTGCAATGCTTGTCTCCCTCCTCTCATGTGAAGGAGGCTGGCCGAGATGCTGGGGCAGGCACTGGTGGGTTTGGAGGTTCCCCTCATGGGGGCCAGCCCGTGGCACAGGTGTCATTCTCCCACCCCATACCAACATCCGTGTTAGGCCCCTCTGCAGCCTCCTCTACCCCATCCTTGTCCTTCTCCCAGGGTCCACAGTCCCTGCAGCTGGGAAAAGCACTTTCTCTCGGGATTGCTGAGCCGCAGGAAGCTGGTCCCAGTGACACTGAGCTGACTCTGCCCAGGGATGCTGGCATGTGGCTGGGCCCCTGTTTCAGCAGCACAGGGCAGCTGCTGTGTGTTTTGGGGAAAAAAACAGTTAAAGAATCTTCTGCTGTGAAAGCTGTGACTCTTTCCATATGGACAGGCTCGCTTCCCCTATTTTTGCTGGTTAGTTCCTCTTCCCAGGATGGTTCTGTCATGGGACGAGGCTGAAGCAAGAGCTGTGATGGGGGTAGGAGAGACAACCGTAGATGTGTGTGTGCGCTTTTGCCAGGATAACGCTGGAATGGGGGGGGGATGGTGGGGGTAATGGATGACAGGAACAGTGTCGGGGATGGCCTTGCTGGCCCCAGTGTGGGGCTTGGGGCCCAGAGTAGCTAGAAGACCCTGGTATGGGGAGCCCCTTGCTGGAGGCTCCCACGCCAACCTGGAGCCATCTGCATTTCAGACTGGGCTGTGAGGTTGCCCCACCTAAAACCTAGCCATGGATTTCACTGCCACCCAGCTTCAAAGCCTAAGCAGTTGTGCTGGTTTTGGCTGGGATAGAGTAAATTTCCTTCACAGTATCTAGTATGAGGCTATGTTTTGGAATATCCCTTTGGTCAGGGGGGGTCCAGTGCTGCAGCTGTGCCTCCTCCCAACTCCTTGTGCAACACCAGCCTACTAACTGGTGGGGTGGGGTGAGAAGCAGAAAAGGCCTTGGCTCTCCGTAAGCACTGCTCGGCAATAACTAAAGCATCCCTGTATTATCAAGGCTGTTTTCAGCATAAATACAAAACATAGCCTCATACGAGCTGCTATGAAGAAAATTAACTCTATCCCAGAAAAAAACAGCACAGCAGTGGCCCCCAGTGTGGCAATGGCTGTGATCCCTGGGATGGGAGGAGGGAAAAGAGCCCTGTGGGGCAGACAGCTGCTGCCTTGTCTCTCCATCCTGCAGGAGCAGCTCCCAAAGAGAAACCAGGGCTTCTCTGTCCTGTGTCTGCTGCTATGAGCCATCCTGTCCCGTGGTGACTGAAATGTGGCAAAGCAAGGCAAAAGCTGTCTGCTGCACCCAGCTGGGGGATTGAAAAAAAAAAAAAAAAAATTCCTTCCTCACCACCACGGGGAATGAGCAAATGCTGAAGTGGGAGAGGAAGCCATGCTCACCGGTTCGTGGGTGCTGGGAGAGGAGGCAGAGCCCTGGGCAGGGCTGCTGCCACCATCGAGAGGGTGAGGAAGGGGCAGCAAGTGAATATGGTCACCAGCAGAGCTGCGCCCCGAAAACAGCAGAGCCATTAAACGCTTGGGGCTGGAGCGAGGGGTTGGGACGTGCTGTTCGCGGCAAGCTACAGTGCTGATGCAACCCGAATTGTCAGGACCCCTTGGATGCATGTTGCGGCTCACCCCCAGCCCCACGCTCCGGATGGACTCTGGATTAGTGTTCTTGTTTGCTGGGGCTGTTTGTGGACCTAGTTACCAGCCCCGGCTCTGCCTACTGTGCTCCGGTCCCACGGGACTGCACTCTACCAGTGCGGGCACTGCCTGTGCCGGGGTGTCTCCGGGCTACCCCCATCCTTTGGGGAAGCAGCTGGCCTGGCTCTCCGATGTTCCCGGACCTCACCGTGCGGGAGGGCTCGGGCTCGCAGGCCTCCCCAAAGCCCGACCTCAGCCTGGGGGCGAGGAGAAACCCCCGGCAAGGCGCTGCCGCCGCCCGGCGAGCAGGCCGAGGTACTGCCGGTGAGGGCCGCCGATGCGCGCTGCCGCCCCCGCGCTCCGCGCCGCCGTCCGCCGGTAACGGCCACGCGATGCGGCGGCGCCGCCTCTCGGTGAGGAGCCGCCGCCGCCGCCGCCGCCGCGCGCGCGCTGTCGCGCCGAGCGCGGAACCGGCAGCGTCAGCGTCCCGTCCCCCCCCCGCCCCGGGCACGCGCCCCCGGCCGCTGCCGCCGCCCCGTGGGCGAAGCGCGGTACTGCAGCGCCGGCACCGCCCCGGGCCGCTCCGCCGCTGCCGGTGCACGGCGGCTCCGCCGCTGCCGGTGCACGGCGGCCCGCTGGGCGTGATGCCCGGCGGTGGGTGCGGGCCAGCACCGCCAGCGAGGCGGGCGAGCCCCTTGGGCAGGGCCGGGGGCGTCTCCTGCCCGCCGGCCGCCCGGGGGTGGCGGGACAGGAAGCTTCGAATCGCCTTCTGCCACGGTGCCCGCTGGAAGCGCGCGGGGTCAGGGCATCCCCAGGGACTTACCGGAGAGCTGGCGGAAGGGGAGAGGGAAAGGAGGCAGGCGTCTGATGCCAGGGGCCTCCCCAACTCACCAGGGCTCCCCCTGAGCCTCCCCCGGCCCCACACTCCCCGTGCAGCTGCCCCCAGCTCCAGCACCACCCCTGAAGCCTGTCCCGTACCCCCAGGTGAGCTCCAAGCCCGGTGGTGACAGTGGCAACCTGGCCCTTGGTGCATCTCCAGAAGCCCCTGTGGAAGGAGGGGTTCCAGCCAGGAGCGATCTGCTGTAGTAACGGTCACCGCTTCTTTCTCTCTTCCAGAGAAGTTGACTAGGCACTTATTTCCAGCACAGGTTTGGGTTGCGGTCTTCCCCGGAGTTTCTTGGAGAAGAGGATGTGTGTTATTTGTGCTTGTAACAATCTGCACCCAGGGGTCTTTCTTTCATTGCAGTCCTGGGCACATGAGCTTTTTCTGTTATTCCAGTTTTGCCCTTTTCCTTAAGTGTCCAATGAGATTTGCTCTAGTATCATTCGTGGCAGTTATGTTCTCTTATTCTTGTTTATCTATTGTTTTTAGCACCAGTTCCTGTAGTCGCGAGGTGTCTGTTTTAGATCTTTGAGTCGCCATGTCCTGCCATCGTGGTTTTTCTGTTGGTTGACCTCTGCTGTAATTCCTTAAGGACCTTTGTAGGTAAGGAGGTATTTTGTGTCACTTCTGTGTACTATACTATATGTATTTGGGTCTTGATGTTCCCATTGGGTTTTTTGTGCTAGCTGGGTAGCCATACCGAGGGTCTCGTGTACCTTGGCTCATCAGTGTAGTGCTAACCTGGTGCTTCAGTTCTTGTATTAGAAGCTCAACGCACAGACCTGTCTTGCCTGGGTCACGTCTGAGAAGTTTATGGATGGTCTTCTCCCACAGCAGTTATCCAGGATGTGTCAGCATATTTGCTGTTGAACGGTCTGTTTTCATGGAGACCTTTTCCAGGATGACATTCTCTGCATCCTTAGGGTCTTAAATGTTAGAGCCTGGCTTCTTGCTCACCCATTGTTGCAGTTGCAGCCATATCTTTTTGTCACGGGCTGTGGCTTTTGACTTCTGGGACAGACATAGCTTGTTCCTTGTTGTCCCTAGGTCTTCTCACCTAAAGGTATCTTCCCTCTGGGAGTAATTCTTCTTGTCGAGAGTCTTTTTTTATGTCTCTGGGTCAAGTAATTTGTCTTGTTTGTGTGCAGTTTCAGTCTGCATATGTGCCTGGGTTGGAGCTGCTCCACCTGGGACCATAGCAATGTCAGTCAGAGGAAGAATAACAGTAAGAGTCTGTAGTTAATATTGATATGCCTAGACGGTTTAGTGACAGGCTGTACAGTCTAGCTCAGAGCAAGTAGCCCTCAGCAGCAGGCAAGGATGTCAGGGGGATGACCAGAACTATCTGGGAGATGTTGCTTGAGCGGTAGTTGAATATCTCTCATCTCAAAGGTGTTAAGGTTGTATGTGTAGGGCTTAATGTTGTGGGGGTTGTTTTGGTTTTTTGTTTTTTTTTTTTTTTTGTGTTTTTTTTTTGTTTGTTGTTGGTTTTTTTAATGGCAAGCTGTACTTGGAATCTCAATGGTATTCTTAAATGGACTCAAGACCTCTAGAATTGTTAAGATATTAATCAGCATCTGGGTGACTTGTTCGATACTGATGTAGTTTTTGTTGAGGATGGGTTCAGACCCGTGGCCCTCTGAAAGCTAAGTTGAAGGAGTGCTGTTTGGGAGAGACCTATGGGGGACAGCCCAAGGTTGGGAATTGCAGGGTGGGGCTTTAAGTTAGTGTAGGGGAGAGGTCCATCCAGGAACAGTGCCCTTTGGGCAGGTCAAGGGAGCAGATTACTTTTCAGCACAACTCTAGCATGTGCCAGGCAGGGCAATTCCAGCCCATGTCTGTGACATGTAATTTGTTATGTGCCTTCTGTGTCTTAGACCTTCCTCGGGTCTCAGTGTGCTCTTTGCACTAGAGCACAGCACATGCCTCTGACACACTCCCTAGGGTCTGGAATGCCCGTCCTCATCAGCATAGTGTCAGTTGGGTGCTGCTTTTCTCGTGTTACGAGCCTGAAGCGTGGCTAGGTCTCAGAAGTTGCTGGTCAGTCTGCTTTTGCAGCATTGTTCTGGGCTATGTTAGCATCTCTGATCTCGAGCAGTCCATTGTCACAAATGCCTTTTCTGGGAGTTCTTCCTTAGATCCCTGTGTTCTTAGGTGTTTAAGCAAGGCTTCTTGAACATGCTTCATCCCAGTTGCACCCAGATATTTTTGTCACAGGCCACAGCGTTTGCCTGCTTGGCTTGCCATAGATTCTTCCTCATGGCCCCATAGGTCTTATCTGCCAGCGTCTCTGGTCCTGGAGGCATACTTAGAGCTTTTTGTCTTGTTTTCGTGCAGCGTTGGTCTGTGCATGTTTGTGGGTTGGAACTGCTGCTTTGGGCATCACATCTATGGTAGTCAGCAGGAGAATAACAATGAGAATGTAAGGCTACTGTGTTGATAAGCCTAGACTTTGTAGGCAAAGAGTGTACAGTCCATTTCAGAGTAAGTAGCCACATATGCAGCAAGTGAGGCAACTTACTTCCGTAGCACTATGCAGACACACAGGGAATGACCAGGTTTTTTTATGACAGACCGTAGTGAGACTTGAGATGGTATACCTAAATGGAAACAGGACCTCTGGAATTGTTAAGCTTTTGCTTGGCAATCAGGTAACTTGTTCAATATAGCTCTTGCAGATGAAGAAGGATGACCTGTGTGCCAAAGGGCGGTGGAGGAGGTGAGTGGAGCGCTCCAGGAAGGTGGGGAAGATGCAACTGGTGGCTCTGACTACCTTGTAGATGTGTGTTATTTTGAAGATGCAAAGCAGTGAGCAAAGCCAGATCCTGTGGTATCCGGCAGCAACTATTTGAAGCTTTTCTCTTTGCTTTTTGCAGGTGATGTCCACGCAGCCTTTGGTATTGGATGAGCATTGGAGGTGAGCTGGGGTGGTGACTTTTCAGAAGTGCAACAATAATTTTGTATCTCTTGGTATCTTAGGTATCACAAGCGATAATGGCTGCAGCACCTGACTCTGAAATGAGCAGGTGAGCAATGCTTCTGAGGTGGGCATTGTGAAAGAGGTTGGCCTTGGCCAATGTGACGCTTCCCATCGGCAATGTTTGTGGGTTTCTTGCAGATGGTGAAGAGGAACCTGATGACTCAGGAACATCCCAGTTCACTGATGTAGATTTTGTGGAGGATGAATTTGGAGCTATGTTTGGAGCCAAGTCCTGGCCTTCTGAAAGCTAAGTTGAAGGACTGGATCTGGGAAGGGGCTTAGGAGGAAGGGACAGGGTTGGGAGTTGCAGGGAGGGGTATTAAAGTTAGTGTATGTGAGAGAGCTGTTCAGGAACAGTCCCTTTTGGGCTGGTAAAGAGAGTGGGTTCCTTTTCAGGACAAGACTGTGTTGAGGCAGGGCAGTTCCAGCCTGTGTCGGCATTGTGTAGTTTGTGTATTCTGCCTTCTGTGTCTTAGACCTTCCTCAAGTCTCGATGTCCTGGTTTCTCTTTGCACTCAGGGAGCACGGCGCATGCCTTGGGCACCACCTCTACGATCTTGAATGCCTGTCCTTGGCATAGCGCTGATCGGGCGCTTCTTGTTCTGGTGTTAGAAGCTGAAAGTGTGGATAGGTCTTGGAAGTTTCTGGTTGGTTCTGTTTTGTGGCATCTTTCCAGGCTGTGTCATCAGCTGTGCTCCTTAGGTGTCCCTTTTCAGACTGGTACTTCTTCCCTGCATCTTTACATCGTTAAGTCTTGAAGTCGGTCCTCTTGCGCATCCATTGTCTCAGTTTTGATGATAACTTCTTCTAATGGGCCATTATGTTTGACACTTTTTTTTTCTGGGGTTGCCATAGAGCCTCCTTGCTTCATGGTTGTGACCATCTAGGTCTTCTTGCTCATCAGCATCTCCTGTCTGGGAGTCATTCTCAATTAGAGTTTTTTCTCATTGTTGAATTGCACCGTGCGTACTGTTGGTCTGTGCATGCGTGTGTTTGTCTTGGAGGTGCTCTCTCCAGGGGTGTGGAGTCAGGGGTAGGTTGAGTAGCAGTAGGAGTCTGGGGTTAATATGTTGTTACGCTTAGACCATTTCGGGAATGTTTGCATAGTCACCTCAGATCAACTAGCCATCAGCAGGCTGTGTGGACAGTCATTTCTACAGTGTTTTATGGAGATGATTTAAGCTTTGTGGGAGGGGCTGTTCTGCAGTAGTGAAGCAGATTGAATCTCAAAGGTGTTAAGGCTTGTGGGTGTGGGGCTGACAGTTTGGTGTGGGAGTTGGTTTTGTTTTTTCAGTGGCAGGCTGTAGTTAGACTCTAGATGGTATTCCTAGCTGGAATCAAGACCTCAGGATTTCTTAAGCTATCACTTGGTATCTGGGTGACTCACCTACTAATTTTTTTCAGGTGCAGAGGGATGAGATGCACATGAGAGTGATGGAGGACGTGAGCAGAGCTCCATTAGAAGGTGGGTCAGTGAGTGGTGTAGGAAAATGGGACTGGTGCTATGACTAGCTTATAGGTTTTCTTTTTGTGGGGGGGTGTTTTTGGTTTTTGGGTTTTTTGGTTTTTTTTTTGTTTTTTTTTTTTATGTTGGTGATGGAAAGCTGTGAGCAAAGTGGGATATTAGCACCAGAGCTGGCTCGGGCAAAGTGAGCAAGGGCTAGGGGCCTGAAGTAGCAGTCATTTTCCAGGTGTCCTATCGTTGGTGAGGTTAGAAGCATCCCTTGTTGTTTGTGTCTTACAGGTTGTGTGCAAGCCTCGATGTGGCAACCTGTAGACTGCAGAGATAGGGTGGGTGAGCAGCTAAAGTAAAGGAGCAGGAGATGGCAATTGGTGTGGGCAGGTGGCAGTTTCAGGCAGTATCTCAGCGTGTGTGCCTTGCTTTGGTTTTGGTAGGTGCTGCAGGTAGCCTTGGAGGGGCCAAGTCGCATGGTGATAGGCAGTGCAAGAAGGTGAGGAGGTGGTTGGCTGGGCTGGTATCAAATAACTAAGTATTATATGGCAACTTGGTTAAGCATTTATCTCAGTTTTTCAGGTGCTGTGGGAGCCACCTTTGGAATTGGATGAGCCTTTGAGGTGAGCTGTGGTAGTAGCGAGGAGGATCATGGGCCTTACGATGTCTTACAAGTGCAATGGTAATCTTGTCCCTTGGGATCTTGGGTACCAAAAAGTGATGATGGCCACAGTGTCCGACTCTGAAATGAGTAGGCGAGCGGAGCTCCACGGTGCTTCTGAGGGAGGTGTCGTGGATTATGTAGGCATTGACTGCTGTGATGCCAACTGCCAGCTCTGTTTTGTCTTTTGCCTTTTTGGGTTTTTTTTATTGCAGGTAAAGAAGAACCTGGCCACTGCAGGAACATCCCAGTTAGCTGTTATGTTTCTTTTTGTCAAGGATGCATTCAGTCCTCCAGCCCTCTGAAAGCTAAATTGAGGGACTGGGGCTGGGGGGAGGGGACAAGGTTGGGAATTGCAGGGAGGGGTTTGAAAGTTAGTGTAGGGGAGAGGGTTGTCCAGGAACAGTGCCCTTTGGGCAGGTAAAGGGAGCAGATTGCTCTTCAGCACAAGACTGCCATGTGCCAGGCAGGGCGGTTCCAGGTGGTGTCTGTGTTTGTGTAGTCTGCCTTCTGTGTCTTAGATCTTCCTCAGTCCTCAGCGTCCTTGTTGCTCTTTGCTCAGCGAATGCAACACGTGCCTTGGTCGTCCTCCTTAGGGTCTCGAATGCCTGTCCTCATTGTCATAGTGTCAGTTGGATGCTTCATGTTCTCAGGTTTCAAGCATAAAGCATGGATAGATCTTGGAAGTTTCCAGTCAGTTCCCTTTTGCAGCTTCATTCCAGTCTGTGGCATCAGCTCTGCTCTCTAGGTGTCCATTTTCACGAACTGGGAAGTCGTCTCTGCATCCTTACATTCTTAGGTCTTGAAGCCAGTTGTTTTGCGCATTTGTCATGTCTGTTTTGACAGTAACTTGTTGTAACAGGCCATTGTGTTTGACTCTTTCTGGGGCTGCCATAGAGCCTCTTAGCCTCACAGTTGCGACCATCTAGGTCTTATTGCACGACAGCATCTCCCATCCAGGCGTCATTCTTCTTGCTTAGAGTTTTCTCTCATCTTTGAATCACATTGTTTGTAGCGTGTTTTGTGTAGTGTTGGTCTGGGCATGTGCATTTGGCTTGGAGCTGTTCTGCCTGGGCAGTGTGGAGTCAGAGGTAGGTGGAAGAGTGATAGAAGTGTGTGGTTAATAGAGTGATAAGGCTAGACTGTTTATTCAATGTTTGTACAGTCACCTTGGGTCGAGTAGCCATCAGCTGGCTGTGTGGACCATCATTTCCATAGTGTTTTAAGGAGGTGATTGGAGTTACGTAGGAGGGGCTGTTCAGCAGTAGTGAAGCAGATCGATTCTGAGGTGTTAAGGCTTGTAATTGTGGGCCTTACAGTTTGGTATGTGCGGGATGGTTTTGTTTTGTTTTACCGCCAGGCTGTGGTTGGACTCTAGATGGTATTCCTAACCAGAATCAAGACCTCGCTATTTCTTAAGTTATCACTCTGCATTTTTTTCAGGTGCAGAGGGGTAAGATACATACCGAAGTGACGGAGGAGGTAAGTGGAGTGCTGTGAGAAGGTGTGTCAGTGAGCGGTGTCAGAAGGAAGATGGGATGGGTGCTATATGCCTAGCTTATAGGTTTTGGTTTTGTGGTTTTCTTCTTTTTTTGAAGGTGTGAAGTGGTGAGCAAAAGAGGATATTGGCACCAGAGCCGGCTCAGGCAAGCTGCCTTTGGAATTGGAGGAACACTTAAGGTGAGCTGGGGTAGCAGCGAGGAGGATCACGGGGCTGGTGACTTCTCACAAGCGCAATGATAATTTTGTCTGTTTGGAATCTTAGGTTCTATAAGCAACGACGACCGTAGCGTCTGACTTTGGAATTGGTGCAGAGCAGGGTGAAGGGAAGTGACACAGTGTTTCTGAGGAGGGAGGGGCATGTTGTGGATGATGTAGGCATTGACTGCTGTGATACCGACTGTCAGCTCTGTTTTGTCTTTTGTTTTTTATTGCAGATGATGAAGAGGAAGCTGGCAACTAAAGGGACATCCCTGTTAGCTGATGTGGTTTTTCTGTTGAGGATGGATTCAGACCTCTGGCCCTTTGAAAACCTATGATGAGGGGACCAGGGCTGGAGAGGGCCTGGGAGGAGTGGACAAGGTTGGGAACTGCAGGGAGGGCTATTAAAGTTAGCGTAGGGGAGGGTGCTGTCCAGGAACAGTTTCCTTTGGGCAGGCAAGGGAGTGGGTTACTTGTCAGCATGACACTAGTTTGTGTTGGGCAGGGCAGGTTCCAGCCTGTGTCCGTGCATGTAGCTCACATAGTCTGTCTTGTGTCTTATACCACACTGTCCTCAGGTATTGATGTATCCATAGCTCTTGGTCGTCAGCAGGCACCTCAGTAGTCCTCCTGAGAATCTTCAGTGCATTGCTTCACTGGCATAGTGCCTGTTGAGCCCTTCTTGTCTAGCAATTGTTGCCTAAAGGATGGATTTGCCTGGTGTGTTTTGCACTGTAGATGTTCTTGAGTGGTCACCTTTTGTGCTGCCGAGCTAGGCGATGCCTGCAACTCTTCTGTTGAGAGTTGGTTCTGTTTGCACACAGTAGCATTCTGAGGTTTCATCCCCGTGTCCTTAATGATCTTAAGTCTTGAAGCCCAGCTCCTCAGGTATCCATCATTCCGGTTCTGACGGTAGCTTTCTCTCATGGGCCACAGTAGTTGCCTCTCATTACGGGGCTGCTATAAAGCATCTGCACTGTCGTGGCACCGTAGAGCTCCTGCTGGTGGCATCTCCCCTAGGGTGGCAGTTCTCTCTCACGGTCTGCTCGTGTCTCACAGTCACGTTGTTTGTGGTGTCTGTCTGTGTCAGGGTTGGAGCTGCCCTGCCTGGGGGTGTAGCAATACTAAAGACAATGGTAGCATAGCTTTATGGTTGAATAGTAATATGTTGATCTGCTCGGATCCTTTTGGCAAAGACTATACGGTCCATCTCTGGGCAAATAGCTGTAGACAGCTGCCAGAGTTGTTTTCACTGTGTTTGGCAGGTGCCAGAGGTTGGACTCTGGCCTGCTGGGAGTGGTGGTCTGTGTGGTGGTTGAAAGGGTTGAATCTTAAAAGAGCCTTAGCTTATATGTGGGGTTCAGCATGTGGGGTTGGGTTGTTTTAGCTGTAGTTAGAAGGCATATGCAAAAAGAGAGACCTTTGGTCTTGTAAAGCTATCGGTTAGTGTCTAGGTGACTACCTTCACGTGACTTGGGTTTCTCAGATGCAGAGTGATGAGCTGTGTGCTGCAGGGTGACAGAAGAGGTAACCAGAGTGCTGTGCAAAGGCGGGCCGGTGTCTGATATCAGAGGATATGTGTCACTGATGTCTCTGATGGGCTTATGCTGTTTTGGGTTTATTTGCTAGGTGTGAATAGATGAGTGAAGTGGGATATCTGTACCGGAGCAGACTTTAGCAAGGAAAGTGGTGACCAGTGTGCCGAAGTAGTAGTTTTTTGAGGAGTCATACCCTCCCTGTTATGTACATACATATCCCTATCCTATAGGGATGGGGTATGTAGACCAAAGAATATGAGTCTGAGCAGCTGAGGTAAAGCAGCAGAGGAGGAGCGCTGCGAGCAGGCTGAGGATTTGGGTGGCATCTTACCATGAGCAAAGGTAGTTTAAGCATTAGTAATGAGCTATGTGAAAGACAGGGACAGGTAAAGAAGTCACAGGGAAAATGGTATTCGAGGTCTATCACAGTAGTAACGAACAGGAGCGATGCGAGTAAGAACATGGGCGCTGGTCCTTAATGTCTGTAGTGAAATATGGCGGTGGGAAAGACAAAAGGAAATGGGGTAGGTGGTGATGACTGTTCCTTACCAAAATTTATTTAGGATCGGTTTTGCTTTTGTCGTCTCAAGTAGGCGTCTGTGGGCAAGTAGTCAATAGATGTAGGTAGCTGTCGACAGGTCAGGAAGCACATGCGTCGCTGCATCGTTAGGTCCGATGGACTCTTGCCAATGGTACGAGCCTGAAAAGTAGAGAAAGCAGTGTAGGTTAAGTGGGTGAAAAAGATGTGTATTATGTGAAATGGTAATGCCAACAGGCCGGTTGTGGGCATGAGTTAGACATTGGCGGTAAGCCTAGGATGCTATGAGAGAGAAGTGCAATGAGCAGCTGAGATAAATAGATAATAAAGGTGTAATAAGTACTAGTGAATAGGGTAGTAAGGGTTAATAAGAATGAGAACATGTGTGTGACAGAGCTTTAAATAATAAAACTTAAACTGCAAAGAGTGCCCATTGTGTTTATTTCCAAAATAAAGGTTGATTTGCTTTACTTTGGTGTATTTCTTTCATTGCTGTCCTTGTTGAATAAGGAAAAAAGTTTACAGCAGTAGCTGTAGAACATAGCATCTCGCTGTGAGTAATGATCGATTGAGCTTTATGGATGTAATAACTGTAAAAATGTAAGAAATAAGGAAAAGAACAGCTTTTACTGCTAGATTGCATGCCACATTCTGCTGCTGCACTAAGTTTTTTATTTATACATATAAATACATATATTTATCTGAATTTAAATATATTTACTCCATATTTAATTTATATATACACTTATATATATATCTATAAATCCACTTCATAAATACATAAAATACAAAGTTGATATATTTATTATTTTTATTTATAATACAAATATATAAATTTATTTATTAATTTATAAATAAATATAACCCTAACTATACCGTAACCCAATCCCAGAAACAAGAGAAACCCCCCTCCCGATCACCCCTCCTCTATACAGTGAGCATGGCGTTACACGATATGGAATATTTAATTGGCCAGTTTGGGTCTGGTGCTCTGGCCATGCTCCTTCCCTGCTTCTTGTGCACAGGCAGGACAGGGGGAGTTGGAGAAGTCCTGAAATCTCAGCAGCAGCCAAAAACATCAGTGTGCTATCACCATTCTTCTCATACCAAAGCCCATGCTGTATCCAAAACACAGCACTATTCTAGTTCCCAAAAAGAAACATTAACTCTATTCCAGCTGAAAACAGGACATCCCCCAGGCCAAAGGACCACCATGGGGATCTGTGCCCAGCCACCCCCCACCCGTCCCCCCAGACCCTGCCCCTATTTAATACAGTGATGGGGAGCAGTACAAAGAACCAGAAAGAGAAAAATAAGGAAGAAGATGGGGTAGCAGAGAGAGAAAAAGAAAGGTCAGAATAAAGTGTCAGAGTGAGAGAAATTGAGAACAATAGGGACAAAGAGCAGCGCAGAGAGACTTAGCAAGAAAACATGGGGTTGGTGAGCAGGACAGAGATGGTGGGGGGAAACGAGGGACAAGAATGGTGACAAGGCACAGGACACACAGACTTGAGAAATAAAAAGGACGGGGAACAGGACAAGGGGATGGAGAAATAAATGCTCAGATCTGTACAATGAAACCAAGAAGAAAAAATTAAAAAACAGCAATGGGCTAGAGGACAGAGACAGAAGAAGAGAGAAGAGGGCCAGGGAACAGGACAGAGGAAGAGAGAAAGGGGAAAAAGGGAGAGTCAGCTAGATAGAGAGGTACAGCAAGAAATAATATATGATATGGACAGGCAGCAGGACAGAAATAAATACAGAGAACATGGGACAAGAAGCAGGACAGAGAGATAATGAGAGGAAACAAGGGGCAGGGAGCAAGACAGAGATGGAGAAAGAAACCTTGGGGCAGAAAGATAGAAAGAGAAAGCAGACAGAAAGAAGGAGGGGAGATGTGGGGTGGGAAGGAAGGACAACGAGCAGGACACATTGTTAGAGAAACACAGGGACAGGAAGCAAGACAAGGTGATAAAGTGCCAGGGAGGCAGGACAAGGTGACAAACATACAAAAATGAAAGCCAGGGAACAGGACAGATGGAGGGGGAAAAGCCTGGGTTGAGCTGCAGGACAGAGAGATGGAGAAGGAAAAAAAAAGCACTGGGCTGCAGGACAGAGATGGAGTGAGAAAAAACAGTGGCAGGGAGCAGGACAGAGTGACAGAGCAAAAAAAAAAAAAACAGAGGGAACAGAACAGACAAATGGGAGAGAGACAATGAGAAGGACAGAGAAACAGAGGGAGAGAGAGCAATACAGAGATGGAGCAAATTAAAAATGGGCAGGAGGCAGAACAAAGGGAAAGAGATACAAGGACAGGGAGCAGGACAAAGGGATGAAATGGAAAAAATAGTGATGGGCTGCAGGACAGAGATGGAGGAATTAAAAAAATAGACACAGGGAGCATTACAGAATGAGAGAGAAAAAAGGGACAGAGAGCAGGACAGCATTGGAGGGAAAAAAAACAACTGTGCTGGGCAGTGGGAGAGATATAGAGAAAGAAAAAGATACTGAGGAAGAGAGAAAGGAAAGATAGCTGGGCAGGGGGATACAGTTATAAAGGGTGGGAGAGGGAATGGGACAGAGAGAGAAAGACATAAAAGACAGCAAGAGGAAGCAGGACAGAAGGACAGCAAGAGGGGGAAAAAAGCAACAGGGATCTGGACAGATATGGGGAAATAAGCAGCAGGGACAGAAGAGAAGAGGCAGAAAGAACAACAGGGAGCAGAACAGACAAAGAAAAATCAGGGTGGCAGCATGATGGAGAAAAAAACCTGGGGTGGTCAACAGGACAGTGAGGAATATGCATATGGGCAGGAAGCAGGACAAAGGGATATAGTGAGAAACAACAGGACAAAACAGAGTGACAGAGAGGAATAATGAGAGAGAGAGAAAGATCAAGACCGAGAGACGCACTGGGGGTTGGAGAAAGATCCTGAAGATCCTGCAGAAAAGTATTAGGAGCCCTGCAGAGAGACAGCAACAGGAAAAAAAAAGGGGCATGGAGCAGCATGAAGGGTCAGAGAGTAAGAGATGAACAGGAAGGAGGACAGCAACAGTGAGATACAGAATGGGAAAATTAAAAAATAAAATAAAAAAAAAAAAAAAAACAAAAAACAGTGAGGAAGACAGAGAGAGAGGAAGACAGAGAGAAGGAGGATGAGAGATAAGAAGGAAGGGACACGGAGTGGCACTTACAGGCACAGAGAGGAAAAGAACACCAGTGAACAGACCAAAGAAATTGTGGAGAAAAAGACAGGTGCAGATCAGGACAAAGAGATAGAAAAGGCAAGACCAGCAATGGGCTGCATGACAGAGGGTGAAAAAAAAAAGAAAGGGAGCGGGACAAATGTACAGAGAGAAAAATTAAAGGTAGGAGTGTAAGAAAGGAGCGAAAGGGGGAGTGGATGAGGGAGCAGGACAGAGAGATAAGAGGTAAAGGGAAGCAAAAAAAAAAAAAAAAAACATCACAGCAGTGTGGGGAAGAGAGTGGGCCAGGGGAGGGCCGGGGATGCACAAGGGGGACGACAGGGACTGACCACAGCTCTCAGCACTGGCAAGAGAATTTCCCAGTTCAGACCCTCCCTTCTCCTCTCCTCCCTTCCTGTCCTGCAGGTCCCACCACCTGGCTGTCCCCCACCTAACAGAACGTGGGTGTCTCGGAGCTCTTACGAGACGAGGCTTCCTACACCCAGCCCTGGCTTGCCGGCGCTACGCAGCCGCACCGCGCTCTGGGCCACCCGCGCAGCCCCCGCCGTGCACACTGGTGGCCCGGCCTGCTGTGGACTTCCACGAGGGATCCTTCCTCGCCCAGGGCAGCCGTCCCTGCAGCGGGAGGAAGCTGCTGGCCCAGCAGCCTTCGAGTTCTTCTTGACCTTTCTGGGAGCTCCAGCTGTGACAGCTCGTGGTCACAGCCCGGAGATGTCCCGGGGGCCTGTCCCTTTTCACCCCGACACCACGGGGAGGACGAGCCTTGGAGGAGACACCCCACGCCGGCCTGAGGCGGGGAGAGGCAACGGCATCCACGGGGGAGGCACGGACAAGCGCGGCCTCAGTAAGAGGGAAGGCACAGCGGCCGTTACTGCCGGTGATCGCCCGTGGCCGCTGCCCCTCCTTGCGCAGGGGCTTCTGCAGGAACACCGAGGGCCAGCCTGCCGCCCTCCCCGCAGGGCTCCGGGCCGGCCTGGGGCTCCGGGCTTCAGGCGAGGTCCTGGAGCCGGGCGCGGGGCAAGCGGGACCAGGCCCGGCTCAAGGCGAGCTTTGGCGAGTGTGGGGAGGCACCCGGCGCCGGCTCCTGAGGGGACGCCGCCTCCTCCTCTTCCCTTCCACCAGCTCCCGGGGAACTCCCCGGGGCCTCCAGCGCACCGGGAGCCTGCCGCAACGGGTGCTCTTGAAGCTCCTCGCCCCGCCGCCCCCGGCGGGCGGGAGAAGCACCCGTCCAAGGGGCTCGCTCGCCTCATCGAGGGCCCAGCGACCCGCCGCGCTGCTCCGGGGCACCGCGGCGGCGGTTCCTTTACCGGGAGGCAGCGACGGGCGCGACGCCGGCGGCGGCGGGCGACAGCGTGCGGCCAGGAGCGCCACCGCGCATGCGCCCCCCCCGCAGTACCGGCTGATGGCCGCCGGGCGGCAGCACCGCCCCAACGAGCCCGGGGAAGGGCGGGAAATGAGGCGGCCGCTCCGCCCAGTTTCCGCTCCCCAGAGATGGCTGCTGCTTACTGGGGCTCCAGGGTTCTTGTTTCCCTGCCCCGGGAGTGACAGCAGCGACAATGCAGCAACACAGACGCCACGCTGAAGGCAGGAGGGAAGAGACTGAAAGCAGCTTTGTGCGGGAAGGGCAGCTGTGTTTAGCGCGGCCGAGCAGACCAGGGGCGAGTGTCTTATCTCCACAGGAGCGATGTGCTGGTGATCCTTGGGCTTCGGAGTGTTGTTTGCACCTCTTCTCACCTCTGTGAGGTGGCCTGCTCTCCTAATCCTGCATCCACACAGGGCTCCCTGTGCAGGCCTTGGCACTTCAATAAGAGACACCGCACAAAGTTACTTACCCTGCCCTCCAGCATGTGGAGTGTCCTGGTTTGGGCTGAAATAGAGTTAACATTCCTTTTTGGGAACTAGAATAGTGCCGTGTTTTGGATTTAGCTTTGGGTTTGGTATGAGAAGAATGCTGATTGCACACTGATGTTTTCGGCTGCTGCTGAGATTTCAGGACTTCTCCAACTCCCCCTGTCCTGCCCGTGCACAAGAAGGAGGGAAGGAGCACGGCCAGAGCACCAGACCCAAACTGGACAATGAAATATTCCATATCATGTAACATCATGCTCACTATGTAGAGGAGGGGTGATCAGGAGCAGGGTTTCTCTTGTTTCTGGGATTGCAATTGCAGAATCTCGGTATTTTGGGATCGCTAGCCAGGAACAGGCTGGGTATTGGTCAGCGTGTGGTGAGCAATTACATTGTGCATTGCCTGTTTATATTT